AGCCATTTATTCTCGTGTGGTCTTTTCCTGGCTTAGGAACCGGTCTGAGGTAGCTGTGGAGCCAGTCATCAGGAATAGTGCCAGTTTTCATGGTGTTGTTAAAAATCGTGGATAGTTCATTAATATCTGTCGCCTCGAGGCTTTTGAAGTGGCTGTATCTAATGCCATCAGGCCCTGGAGCTGTGTCCGGACAGGTCTTCAGTGTTGCTCTGATGCAGTCCGTTGAGATGTATACTGTATCATCGACTTCCTCCATTTCAGCCATCTGGATATCATATAAACTCTGTCTTATCTGTTCCCTCTCTTCCCTATCTTTCTTTTCCGTCTGCAGAAGAAATCTGTGCAGGATAGCCTCGCCCTTGTCTTTATCCGATTGTAACACCACCCCGTTGTCCATCTTTAGCTCGGGCATAACAGAGGTTTGTTTGCCTCCGTTCATCTTTTGGTGAAGCCGCCAGAATTTTTTAAGTGATTTTTCATAACCTATTTCCTCGCAAAAATGTTCCCACATTGTGTGCTTAGACTCCTTAGCGAGTTGTTTAAAATGTTCAGTGAGTCTGTCTTTTTTGTGTTTAATGTCTTGTTTCAGCTCCTCAGTAAAATTCGTATCTTTACTTATTATTTTATCAGCGGCCAAATGTACATACCTTGTACAGAACAAATATGCTGTCAGGCTTCTTTAGTACGTTCTGGGTAAATATAATACATATGATCACAAATGTTAATGATGAAGAATAGTCAACCAAGTAATATGATGTATTGCTTGAGACATAAAGATTTCAGCTAAACTCCTGCACAAACACTAAATCAGCATTATCATGCTGGTAGGTTTAGTTGATCATTCATACATGGTCACCTCTAGTCAGTTAGCACTTTGTCAAAGCATCCAAATATTTGTATAATTCAGGTGTTAATCAAAACAAAATTGCTTAATTTTTTTTTACTCTTAATGGAAAGGAGCATCTATCTGAGTGCTTGACAGCTAGGTTTTTTTTTCCAGGAGAGCCAGGTGCAGATTGTAAGGTGAAGAAAATGAATGTTGTCAATAGAAAATAAAACCCCCACCACCACTGTTCATGGTGACTGCACTAACCATGCGACCCCCCATGTCCTCAGGCTCAAGACACTACATCACTCTAAAAAGTGGTTATTAAATATAATAAGGACTGTTAGTCTTAACGGAAACCTTGAACAAACTGCACCTTCCTCTGCACAATTGTGCTAGCTGTGCATGGCAATATCTATTCCAGATTCTGCTAATGTTTAATATTCAATAGTTTTTTGTATGTAGGCAAAAAGAAATGGTCGTTGCCATACGTTTACCTTGGTGAAACAGTTTGAAATCTACTCAAATTTGTGTTTCAGTTTCTAGGATTCAGCTATTTGCTTCATTTTAATTAATTGTTACTGTAGTATGCACCTGATGAGATACAGCGAAATATGCCAGGCAATAAAATTGTGCAGTCTGTTGTTTGTGTCTTCTTTGTTCAAATAGTTTTTTTGGTTTATGTAGCAAAAACATGGATGTTTTCTGGATCTATACCAGTTATGACATTTGAATACTGATCTTCTCTGTGTGGGTTTTAAAGAACAGAAGTAAGGGACCCACCGCCTACCTAACAAGCATGTCGCAAGAGTTGACGAATTGGTAACTTCCTTCAGTCAGAGTACATCTGCCTGATAGACAAGGAACCAATAGTTTACATACACATGAGTCAGATCTGTAAAATGGATGTGCACACAACAGTCAGGTTCTGGAATAGGACTAAAGTCCAGAAGTAGGTGAACAGCTAGGACTTTCCGCCTGAGTTTACAGCCGATGAACACCACGAAGAATACTGAGGTGCAGGGGGAGGGGACTGAACACACAAAATAATGCAGATGTGAATAATATCTGAAGTTTTATTTACAGACAAAACTGAAGTATAACAAATTTGTGCTTTGCTCACATTATCAGTATAAATTGGCAAGTATAAATAAGTATTCATGGTCACAAAGAACCCAGGGATGCTAGGAGACACTGCCTCTGTTCTATTAGCAAACTAATATAATACACTGTTTACAGACATGCCAATATTTTTACTTATTAGATTTTTCGTCGGCTCTGTGGCTAAGTCGAGGCGAACGCTTCGCTTCGTAATGCCCGGATGCCAGGTTCGATCCCAGCTGCGGGCAATGCACCTTGCATTGGTTTCGACAGTGGTATCAAGAAAGCTGACTGTTCAGAAAGAAATGGCAAACTACTGGATGTAAAATGCCTAGAGACGTTCTGCAACGTCCTGTAAAGGATATGCAACTAACTTTTTATTAGATTTTTCAACAACCTGGGAAAGGGACATTTACTTGGGTTGTGTCACAAACCGAAAGCTCAAATTTTTGTGCTTTTCAGTTCTAGAGGGCTAAAAAAAAAAAAAAGCATACCGTAGAGGGAATGCGCCAAGTGTCCTTTTAAGGTCAAATGAAGCAGAAGAAATGTTTTCTGCATTTAAATCTGTAACCCAAGACCACCACAGAATCATTATTTGATGTTAGATAAAAAAAAACTAACCAGGTCATGCTAAACATTTTTTAAAGCCTAGAGAGATATAACCCAGTCAATTCTCTGTCTCATTCATGTTTACTGGTTCTTCACATTATTTTGTATGCAGTTAAATATTTTTTTTAAAGGTGAACCCGAAATTCACAAAATACAGGTCTTTGGCGGTTAATCTAGGTCAGCATGGTGAAATGGTTAAGAGATAAGCGGGCTTTTCACAAGTGTCTTCAAGCTCATTTGTTTCACACACACAGCACACCCTCTGACTGTTTATTCATAAGACATACACTCCTGTACTGCATATGTACATAAATAGCCTGATTACTGTTGAAACACTCAGACAAAAAAGTGAAAGACATAACAAGACGATTTCCAGGTCGACGTAGCCTAAAATGGGTACCAGGTACTGTCCTGGGAAGTAAAGGTGGTTGGCACGATGCTAATCACATCACCCATTGAGTGCCAATTGGTCTCTAAAATCTGAGTCTAGCACCAGATGCTCAATGTGCCACTGGCATTAAAAAAAACACAACCTTTTACCAACTTTATAAAAAGACAATACATATTATCGCGCATAGGTAAGGAAGTAGGTGACTGCATATAACGCACTGCTTTAAAAGAAAAGCATGTTAACCAAACACTATCCCAATTTGCTAGAGAAATTCAGTAGAAAATGGGTTGGGTTGAGTAAAGAATTGACATCACAGCACTCAGAGCATTCCCATGCCTACTCTGCCCTCATCTTCAGCAGCCAGCGCAGAGTTCCAATACTATGGTACCAGTCACAATCTAGTTAAATGTCCGTCTTGCCTTTTACTCTGAGTGTAGTGAGCCGGCTAGACCCTCTGGTTACACTCAAGTAGAGGTCGAGGGTCATGGAGACTCAGGGCTGTAGTGGCTAGACTCTTGGGCAGTGGAGCACACCAGCTGTTCCCCCTTGTAAGTCTCTGAGTCTTGCCTTTAGGTGAAAAGGGCGCATTCGGGTGGTAGGTCTACTGTCCTGGTAAACCTTTCTACAGTTGAGACCGTTGTGTGTGACCGAAAAGTCAAATCCTTCGTGAGGTGACCCCGCCAACCAGGACCTCGTGGTCCTGGGACAAAACACAACTGACCTAGAGGAGACAACCTCGATAAAAAGTGGATCTATGTGCTGAATAGCTGTGGAATAGTCAGTTGTGAACGTGGACGTCTGGTCAGCATTATGCGTATGGACTCCATAAGGACATCAATTGCCTCTTCAAAGCAGGCAGGCTCTACTAGGGCGACTGGTTACTTCCTGCTCCAAAACAACTTCAACATATGGATTTTTCATTTTAAATTTAATAAAAATTGTCGCCGGAGCTACGGAGCACAAGCTCTGCACTTGACGTTATCTTCAGCAAGCAGCGAAGAGAGTAGAAAACGGGATATGCGGAAACCATCATATTGTTAAGATGGCACAGTCACAGACAAATTAGCACCACAAACCGAAAGACGCTTAAACAATGTCACAAGTTTTAAAATTTAAAAAGAACTTGGCAAAACCATAAAATGAAAACACATCTTGTAATAGTGTTGTTTTTTTCTAATGCTCTGTCGGTAATCTCTTTATTGAGAAACTCTGGGTCGACAGACAACATTAAGTTACATGAAATTAGCTGGTCACACATTTTCTATATAATTATGCCGCAATAATGGCTTTGAGTTTTATTTAGAGGGAAAGAGGCAGATGCAGCAGTAAATAACTGAGACAATCTACTCAACAATAATAACAATATCATACTCAGAGGTTCACGAAAAACACCCTCTATAAAAGAACTGAAAAACATATTCAAGATACCACAATGGCAAACCTATACTATTACATCACATAAAAGAACAAATAATACTTTTCACATTCCATCCAGGCCACAATATGTACTCAGGAGTATCAACTTTGTAACAGACTATCAGTGCCCATGTGCCACATAAAAAAAATGACCTTATTCTGAGGGTTTCCAACAAGTATGTATTTGCCCAATGCTAAGATAAACTCTGGCTGCTCAGAGGAAATGTGATGAACTCTGATATTTATTAGGTACTTAAAATGATTAGAGTTCTGGGCCTGAATTGTCGGCAAGGTTGTAGATTTTTTTTTTCAGTCGGGGAGGGGTAAAAATAAAATCCTAACCTGCACAGTCGTGACAACAGCATTAGACATGCAGCCCTAAATCCCCGGCGCAAATTTTTTTTTTTCGGCACAGGGAAAAAAGCATGATATTTAAGAATGTACCAAACAAATAAAATGAAGAAATGCTATAGGCTAAACCGACTCATGATTATTACTACAACATTAATGTCAGAATTAACAGTTAACATCTGTAATAACTTCTGAATAAATCGGCACCTTAAGCCTGAATAGGTCTACATATTTTCCAAAATGTCTTCACAGAACTTGACATTTACAACTACAATATATACATAACCAGTATGTACAGACATTACTTTAATTAACTGCAGTTTTCCTGTCATCGTCATCCTGTGTGGGCTTGTTTTTCTGCTGTTTGATCTTGTAATCCTGGAGGGCTGCTTTGATTGCATCCTCAGCTAGCACTGAAACAATCCAAGCATACAAAAAAAATTGCTTTGACTGCATCCTCAGCTAACACTGAAACAATCCAAGAATACAAAATAAATTGCTTTGACTGCATCCTCAGCTAGCACTGAAACAATCCAAGCATACAAAATAAATTACTTTGACTGCATCCTCGGCTAACACTGATACAATCCAAGCATACAAAATAAATTGCTTTGGCTGCATCCTCAGCTAACACTGAAACAATCCAAGCATACAAAATAAATTGCTTTCATTGCATCCTCAGCTAGCACTGAAACAATCCAAGCATACAAAATAAATTGCTTTGATTGCATCCTCAGCTAGCACTGAAACAATCCAAGCATACAAAATAAATTGCTTTGATTGCATCCTCAGCTAACACTGAAACAATCCAAGCATACAAAATAAATTGCTTTGATTGCATCCTCAGCTAGCACTGAAACAATCCAAGCATACAAAATAAATTGCTTTGACTGCATCCTCAGCTAACACTGAAACAATCCAAGCATACAAAATAAATTGCTTTGATTGCATCCTCAGCTACACTGAAACAATCTAAGCTTTGAAAAATAAACATTATCCCTTTCTCTATCATGCAGGAATAAGAGGCTGTATTTCATGGAGAAATAAAAAAAAAAAAAAACAATCAAATAGAGAGGTCCTTAAAGGGACTTGGAAGAAAGGTTTCTGAAAGAAATTTTAAAGAGAGAAGTGAAATATTCTGGCCACATTAAAAGACAATCCCCGTACGCATTCTGGGGCTCCAGTCTGGAGAGCAAAGAAGAAATCCACCGCACCCCTAACAAGCATGTTTATGGAAGGCGACTAATTAGTGGTGTTTTCTTCAGACTGCATCTGCCTGAGGCAAGGAACCAACAGTCTGCAAACAATAAAACTACATCTGTTAAATGGATCAAGACCAAAGTCTAGGTGTGGATGAACAACCAGAACTTGCCACCAGTGAACACAAAGAAGAAAAGACATACTTATTAAAACTATACCAGAAGGAAAAGTTGAAGGCAAGGGGCAGACAATTCAAGTGGACTGATAACGTTACAAAATGGATGAATAGGAGTCTCAGTACATAACCAGGGTGAAAGACAGAGCTATTCTGGAGATCCATTGAACCAACCTTTACCGCAAGGACAACAGCACATTATTGACTGAGGAGGTTTACAATAAAGTCAAAATCACATGCCTGCCAGATGGTGCAGGTGTTCATTTCACTTCACAGATTCAACCCTTGGCACTGAGGATCAGTTTTACTGACATTATTACCCTACTTCTGCTGGTCATTTGTCTATTTTTTTTCTCCAATGCCTTTCATCTTATTTTATGGCATCTTTAAATTTATATGTAAATATTTCATGCAAGTAACACAAATATTTTTTTTTAAAGCATGCACACAAAATTTCATTTTCTTTACTGGCCGTAAGTTCTGGGTGTCAACCTCCAGTCTTATTTTAGAACCTGAGTGTTGTGTGCATATCCATTTCACAGATCAAGCCTATCTATATACAGACCTATGGTTCCTTGACTCTCCGGCAGAGGTACTCTGACTTTGAAGAATGCCCTCAATTAGTGGACTCCTACGATATGCCTGTTGGGGAGGCTGTGGGTCTGCTCTTGTTTCCCCATATAATAAGATCAAGGACCCACTTAGACAAAACAGCTGATTAAATTTATGTTCTATTTTACATCCTGAACCTTTCAAGCTACAAATGAAATCATGCAACTTACTGGAGCAATGCAATTTTACAGGAGGAAGAGAAAGTTCTTTGGCAATTTCTGTGTTCTTGATTTGCAAAGCTTCATCCATCTAGGAAGTCAATAAAAGCAAAGAATGAATACTTGCACCCATCTACGGGGTCAATAAAAGCACATAGAAAATACTAAAACTTGGGTGACTGTATCTGGCTAGAAGCTGTTTTAAATGAATACCAAAACAAACTAGGCAATCTTTATTCAGCTAGTCTTTGTATGGTCGTTGCTAAAACCAACCAGCCAATCTTTGTACTGACATTTCTAACACCAACCAGCCAATCTCTGTACTGACATTTCTAACACAAACCAGCCAATCTCTGTGCAGACATTTCTAACACAAACCAGCCAATCTCTGTACAGACATTTCTAACATCAACCAGCCAATCTCTGTACAGACATTTCTAACATCAACCAGCCAATCTCTGTACAGACATTTCTAACACCAACCAGCCAATCTCTGTACAGACATTTCTAACACCAACCAGCCAATCTCTATACAGACATTTCTAACACCAACCAGCCAATCTCTGTACAGACATTTCTAACACCAACCAGCCAATCTCTGTACAGACATTTCTAACACCAACCAGCCAATCTCTATACAGACATTTCTAACACCAACCAGCCAATCTCTATACAGACATTTCTAGCACCAACCAGCCAATCTCTGTATTGACATTTCTAACACCAACCAGCCAATCTCTGTATTGACACTTCTAAAACCAACCAGCCAATCTTTGTACTCATATTTCTAACACCAACCAGCCAATATCTGTATTGACACTTCTAAAACCAACCAGCCAATCTTTGTACTCATATTTCTAACACCAACCAGCCAATCATCCAGACTGCCAGATTTCTGACCATTAATGTAAAATACAATAACTTTCTATTTGACTTTTCCATGGACGGTTAGTTTTTGTAGCTACTGTTTTAAACAGACAAGGTAGCCAACCTCAAGCCCAACCCCACCCTTAGTCGCCTCTCACAACATGCCTGACAGGGTGCATTACTACAATTCTTTGCTTCCCACGAGGGACACTCGCTGAGAAAACCACAGAGCAATATAGGAATAAAGGAAGACAAAAAAAAAAAAAAAACCCACACAGAAAGAGGGAATTGGAGAGTTAGATTAAAAAAGATGGGGACAGTTACATGCGATGGCGAAGGATAGAACATTTTGGCATGAGTTGGTTGAGCGCCTATGCTCCATTAGGGGTTAGAAAGGCAGAAGAAGAAGAAGATATTAACTTTACTGAACCCTTTCTTTATGTGGAAAATAAAACTAATCTGTGAAATGACTTACTGTTTTTCCCTTTACCCATTCTGTAGCCAGTGAGCTAGAAGCAATTGCAGACCCACAACCAAAGGTCTTGAACTTTGCATCAACTATCTTTCCATTTTCATCAACTCTGATCTGCAAATTTTTGAAGACATTTATTATTTGTACAAAATAATAATAGATATATAAACTGCTTACAAAGAGAACTTCTATGTATGGTGGGGTCTGAGGATGGGTAACTCAAGCTCAGCCCATAGGTTCCAACCTGTTTTCATCCCTTGAAATCTGTGTAAAGTTAATATTATAATCTGTATGCATTGTTACTGAACTATTTATGCATTTTAAGACAGAATGTGTATTACCGGAACAAATGTAAGGGTTGTAAACAGGGGAGGAAAAAAAAGCTTGTCAACACAATTAAAAAATATGCCACATAATAATAAACAGAATTAGGAAAAGACAGAGGCACGAGGCAAGCAGCCCACTGTGACAAGAAACAAAATGAATACTGGGATAGAACCACCACTGTAGAGGCAGCACATGACTTGCAGAATAGATAAAAGGAAGCCAAAATACAATCACCAATAACAGAACAAGTTTCAAACCTATATTAAATATGTGATGACAGCTGGTGAAAATAATGACAAATAATATAGTCATCAACATGCTCCTAGCTAAATGGTGACATTACCCTACACAGTTATATAAGTCATTCACAATCTGGATCAATTCTTTCGATATATCTCTACATAACCATCTTAGATAACCCAGTCACCACAATGTCTTCAAATGCCTCTCTCTTCTTTGACCAAGAACTGTTTGCTGCTTTCATGTTTATAGGTGAAATGTTTTACTCTCAGGTGCTTTGAATAAAGACATGAATAAACACATCAAGTCTATTTAAATGATGGCTGGCATAATGTTGACATCACCAATCTAGTGCTGATAAGACTATAAAAATGCTAGTCCAGCATGATATGCCCAAATGCTCCACAGGGGAAAAGATCTCGTGGAAGACCAAGGGAAACCCTACGTAGAACTATCATTAGGGAAGGCTCGCTCATGGGCCACTCAAACATCCAAGACCTACAACAGATCGCAATGAACCGCCATGCATGGAGAGTCATGACCTCTGCCCTATGTGCCGCACTCGACACAAGAGGAAAGACTAACTAACTAACTAATTCCACTGGTGTCAAACAAATTCTCAACTACAACTTCTTAATATATTCCATTATAACCTATAACAGTGGTTTTTAAGTTGAGGGGTGGGGGGCCACCAAGAAGTTTCAAGACGGCATCAAACAATTTTAAAATTGAGCTCATTTTTACTCATAACAACCTGTTATACTAACATTTTTTCCAGTTTAAATTTTAAAAAATTGTAACTATAAAATTAACACACAAAAAACCAAGGATGTTTGGTTTTTGTAAGTAGTTTGTAATCTAGCTCTCTTATGAATTATTGTTGTGTGCTATCTAATGTCCGCAATACTCAGCCCACGACCAAGTGTTTACAGGTATAGATCTAAACTTGACACAGAATGAATTAAGACTTGTGGCTGTTAGCTCTGCCTTACATCAGGTTTATTGATTCAACACAAAAGGGTATTTACAAGCCCTCACACTGTCAATATTTCACGCTCAGATACGCAGACATTAAAGTACAGATTTATACCTGTAGACACTTGGTCGTGTGTTGAGTATTGTGGACATAAGATAGCATTAAAAAAAACGTTTTGTCTGAAGTGACAATTCTGGTTTACAGTACCTGCAACTTCATAACATCGCCACAGGCTGGGGCTCCAACAAGCCCAGTTCCCACATTCTTATCCTCTTTGTCCAAAGAACCAACATTCCTGGGGTTCTCATAGTGATCGATCACCTGCAATTTATTAAAGAAAAGAAGACAAATCAATAACAGCAGGCTAATCGCTAGTTATTTGTCCGTCTGTACACTGAATCATCTGTATAGATGACGACATCACCTGGTCAAGTGAACATGTGGATGAGGGCTTTCATTTCAGCATCAGCGGCTGCTTAGCTCCATTTCCTGCAATACCTGGCCGGGGTGAATATTATCTGAATGTGCCTCTGAAACTGTTCTGGTGTTTCTATCCACTCAGTACTGAGCCTGACAATGGACAAATTTAGCTAGTGGCATTCTCTGCTTCCGCCCCCTTTTTGGGTGTTTAACTTTGGCCATTCATAAGCATCAACACTGTACAGACTGGGCTAGTGGATAATGAAGAATCTATGACATTAACCATGATTGTGTGGCATGGAAGTAAAGCAGGGTGAAACCCATCTATGCTGCCTTTGAAGCAGGAGTATTTATAACCAACCACTCATGGGAATAATTAGTAGAAGTACCTTGGCTGTAGCATCGAAGGACTGAGCCCACATGGAAATGCCGAGTGTCCATTTACGTCAATTGTGATAACATAACATTAACCCGTAAACACTGTGCAGAAGGTGTTTTTATGTCAGCAGCAACACAAAGGTACACCTTTGCCTTAGCCATCTTGTGTCTAGTGACCATATCTGGCAGGTCGAGGCAGTTATCGCATGGTGTAACATGAGATGTCTCTTCATTTTGCACTTTTTTTTTGTAGCTGAATGACAGCATCAACATGATAAAAAAAAATCTATCAAAACACTTAAAACAGCAGTTATGTTTTAGACAAAGTCCTTGGTAAAATTTAAGTATTTGCATCATGCTCTGAAGATTGTGGGTTCGATGTTCGATGTCTAGCTGGCCATGTGTTTTAGTATGTTCACTTGTTCCTACAGCAAGGTGCTATCATCGTTTGTATGTTAGAGGTGATGTGTTCAGTCATCAGCATGGTAACTAAACTATAGCTTTCGGTTTTTAATAATTTAAGATCTCTAGACAGTGTCCTTCCACCTATTTCTAATAAAACTTCGGCTATTCTTCGAATAACGGTCCTAAATTATCGAGGCCAAAATATACCTTAACTAACAGGACTCAGTCACATGTAAATTGCGGAATTCCTGCGACCTAAATTGCAGACTTCCAGCAACTACCGCCACAGCTGGGAGTATCTCCCGCGCCACGCGGAAGGGGTTAAACTAGATGGCTGGGACTCACGAGAAGCAGCTACTGCATCTCCTGCAGCTTCCTTCATTTTATTTACTCGTGAGTCCCAGCCATCTAGTTTAGCCCCACTCCGCACCGCCTGTAGCGTCGCTGGAGATACTCTCGGCGGTAGTGGCCAGAAGTCCACATTGACATGTGACTGAGGCTCTGTTAGGGTATATTTTTGGTGTCGATAATTTTAGACCGTTATTTGGAGGATAGCCAAAACTTTTTTCTATCAAATTTTTTGAGTGCTAATCAATACATGTCTAGTAGTTAATTATTATATACATAATATATGATGGGTTCCGTTTTGACCTCTGTAGTTGTTTGATTTGTGAGTGATGTTTCAAAAATCCCTTGGGGTCACTGATGGAGCTATGCTTTCATCTATGGTCTATGCTGCTCTCATGCTTTGGACGGCAGTGGGCAAAAAAGCTACTGTAGAACAGAGACAAACCCATATGGAAAAACATGAAAACCAAGCGGCATTCAATATTGAATCTAATCTTATGTAGACTTATGTGCTCCCGTTATTGAAATGAAAGTCAAAGACACAAAGTGCAAAAAAAGATGAGATTGATGAGATCATCAGAGAAAAGAGCAAGCGGCATTTTCTAATCATTCATGTGCTCCCGTTACTGATATGAAAATCTAAGACACAAGTGCAATAAAAGATGAGATCATTTAGAGAAAAGAGCAAGCATCATGTCATCCCACCTCCTCTCGGTAGTTCAAGTTTCTACTCAATTCACATGTCATCCATCCCATTCAAAGATTACATTACATAACACAATAATTCGATGCATTTTTTAGATTTTTTTTTAAACAACAGCCAGCACTTACATTTTTGTGATATCCTGCTACAGGCGCAATGATGCCTGTATCAGTTCTGAAGAATATCGTCTTCGTTAGCTGCATACATCCTCGAAACATCGCCATTCTGATTGCGAAAAAATGTTTAGAATGACAGTGTGGCTATCAACTTGACCGAACTATAGAGCGTTTGACCTCGCGGAACGATACAATGTTTACTGCCTCAACACAAATATTGCCAAATGTAGATTTAAAAATGTATTATATTCAAAAATTATGATAGAAAAATAATTACAATTCGTTTATAGTATAAATATTTGGTAAGCAGATTAAAATGCTTTTTAGCATTGAATTAGCTCGGAATATCTTTGCGTGGTCGGAGACACTTCCTGTGTGCTTGCACAACATGTTGTGTAAGTGTGTTGATCAGCCAACCGTGTCTTTTGAGTATTGTAAATAAATACACTTTAATAAATGGCCCTAAGGTTTTATGATCGACTTATGGCTAAAAAATTGGAACTTTTCTGTTAGATTTTATTTAAAAATATTAAAATGTAAAAAAATAAAATTCGTTTTATTAAAAATTCTATTTTTTTTTTAAATGAATGTTTTCATCATTTTTACTATGTGGGCATTTGCTGGAAAGTGAAGGTAGTTATCATGGTGTTGACCATGTCATCATATTACTCATAGAATGCCAATAAGTCTGTAAAAATGCATCTAGTACCATTTACCTGGTGTAAGTTATGAGAAGGGTCCTTTACTTGAGTTGTATGCATTGACAATGTTTTTCATCTTCTCTGGTGGAAAGTCCTGGCTGTTTGTCCACTTCTGTCTTGTTTTGGAACTTGAGTTCTGCTTACACATCCTCTGTTTTACACTAGATCTAACTTATGTGTAAGCTTACTGTTGGTTCCTCGCCTTTCAAGCACATTCACTAAGACTTTGAAGAAAACCCCTAATTTTTCAAATTTTACATGTTAGTTGGGGACAGGGGCAGTGACTTAAAATTCAAATTGAGTCCCTGAACCCACAAGCGACATTAACAGTTACTTTTTAACATTGCCTGCTTGTATTGAGTGGATCTTTTTCTTATTCACTTCTCCTTATACAGCTTCGGGTGTCAAGGGGAATATAAGGTTCTGCTTCTTGCTTTTCTGGCCGCCTCAACCATGTACACATCCTGCTTTTGTAGAGTTTCTCTGATGTTATCTTTTCATCTTGTTCTTGATCCTCTGTTTTACAGATCAGGCTTATATGTAGGCTCTGTTGGTTACTCACCTCTCAGGCACATGCACTTGGACTTCGAAGAAAACCCCTAATTATTTGCATTTTACAACATGTTAGTTGTGGGATGGGGACAGTGACTTAAAAATGGAGTCCCATAACCCACAAGGGACATAGACAGTTACTTTTTAACATTGCCAGTTTGTATTTAATGTGTCTTTTTCTTCTTCTGCTATTTTTCTCTTCTTCACTTCTTCTTTAACTGCTTCAGGTGTCGAGGGGGATATAATGTGCTTCTTGCTCTTCTTGTCGCTTCAACCATAGACACATCCTGCTGTTGTAGAGTTTCTCTGATGTTATATTTCCATATTTTTCTTGATCTGTCTCATGCTCTACATCCTTTTCCTCTTTTCATTTATGCCTTATATGGTATGGCATCACAAGGCATTCTAAGTGTGTGAACCATTTTATTTGATGTCTTTGTATGTAATTTAGATTTGGTTCTGTGCCAACTTGTTCTCTTTTAACTTCATTCTAGATTTTATCTCTTCTGGTCACTCCTGCAGCCTTTCTGAGACTTATAATTGTCCTGTTGCAACAGGCCTAGCACGCCAGCAGTGGATTCATTATCACTACTAAAAAATAAATAGAGATATTTAATGTATATATGGTGTTATTATTGTTATGTGTTTACTCTTGATGAACTGATTATTTTAATTCTTCATGTAGGATTGACACCAGTTTTTCTGTGCTGATTTCGTTTCTGCCTAACTGATGGCAACATTAATAAGAAAATAATAGTTCTTGTCATCTAAGGATAAAGCATTGTTGGAATATCCCATAATGGCTGCCAGTCTTTCAAACACGGCTGGCTTGGCTGTTGCATCTTTATCAAACCATGATAGAAATGAAATCAGCATTGTGATCAGGTTCAGTAAAAATCAGTCATACATTATTGATATTGATGCCAACAACACAATCAAGGATTTAAAAGAACATGTGGCAAGAGAGTCAAACATATCTTCAAGACAGATAAGCTTTGTGCTTGGAGGACTGTTGCTAAATGATAATTCAGTGTTAAAGGTAAGAAATCAGTCATTACATGCTTGCAAACAAAGAGCCTTAGTTTACTGTCGTACTTACACAATAACTTCTTCTCTTCTTCTTCTTCGCGTTCTCATAAAGTTCTGTTTCTCATCTTCTTCGCGTTCAGAACCTGAGGGTTGTGTGTGCATCCTGTAAACTCTGACTCATATGCAGAGTTCTGCCTCTTGCACTCCGACTTCAAATGAAGCTCCCAATTAGTTCTTGGACTGCTTTGGGTAGAACGGGCTAGTTGTTCTTGTTTTCCCTTTAATAGGGCCCCGGAACTCACACACACTGTAACTGTCTTTTACTGCCGTTATTCCGCTTATGTGTTCCAGTGCCTCATTGGGGGGATAGACCCTCCAACCCCCAACAAGCATGTCATAAAAGTCTTCAGGGGTTTGTGGAAATTTGATGTGTTGGGCCAAAAGGTGCAGATATTTCAGCTGCCCTTTCAAGAGGGAGCACAGAAGAAGAAGACTGCCTTTATGACTCCACTTTTGCTTAGAATAGGGGGGTCTTTTTTTACCCTTAGAATTTAGGGCTTCATGGCAGCTGCCACGAACATTCCCTAATAGAAAATATATCTTATCAATTACCAAGGTTTTGAACCCAGGTCTCCTGAATGAGAAAATAGCACTAACTGTTGAGCCAGATTCTCTTCACAAACATGAGAGTAACAAGATATTTTACGTTCATTATTGTGGATATCAGCATCATGAAATATGTCTGTTCTTTTTTCTTGTTACCTCTTCTAGAGTATTGGCCCTAAATGACTATGTTTGGCCGTCCTTTCATTTGCCACATATTTGTCTTTCTTTTGTTACCCATCTGATTTTTTAACTGTCTTGTTTGTTGTTATCCGCCTTTGTCATTAACTCTCTTTTCTTGTCTGCTGTTATTCACCTCTGTCATTATCTCTCCTATTAAGCTAGCAATCCAGACACCTTTCACTTTTTTCCAGATCACAGAAATATTTTTCTAGTGGAAGAACTTAATGTAAGTTTGGCTGGCTGAATTGTTTTTCTTTTTTCAAGACTTCTCATGATTGGCTGTATTTTGTAGCTAGGTTTTATATGAGATATGATAACCAGCACCCAACTAAGGGAAGTCACTGTAAACTAAAAAAGCAGCCTGGTAACACTGACCGTATTACCTGCTGTGTCTTTAGGATTCAATAAAATATAGACCAAATCTATTGAGAGTAAAGATTGGCACAAGAAGTACACTGGACATACAAACAGTCTTTTCAACCAGCATGGGACTGGCACTGTTAACTGTGGGGTGTTGAGATGTTGAAGGGGAAATCTGAGCCCTTGTTGATGTGTTCAGAGTATGGTGAAGATAACACATCTCATGGACCAAATCTAATATTTCCAATTACACCCTGGCAGTTTGTGAGGGGGCAATCTCTGGACTTGTACGGAACCCTTTACAGATGACAAAAAGTATACTTGAATTCAAAACAATTATTTGATGATTGTAGCAGGTGTTATCTATTAATCAACCTGCTCAGTGGGGCATATAATTATTAAAACAACTGTTTTTAAAAAACAGTAAACCTTAGATTTCTCATTACATTACCACTTAATGTGATAAAAAATCAGGTTATGTTACAGTTTTCTTGTGGTAATTAGAATATGATTTTTAATAACTATATAGAACCCTATAATTCTGTACAGAAATAGTGAACAAATGCAAAGTGGCTAAAGAAGCCTGACTGAATTAAATGTGTACAGAGGTTGGGGTAAATCACAGGAAAGACTCACATTCCATGTACCAACAGATAAATATGTTAACAGGAAAGATGACACATAACAGCACTGGATGTTTAAAATCAAAAGATGGCGACCTATTAATGGGACATAGTAATATAATTAACAGACTGGTTGAGTATATAGGATAATTGTGTGATGATAATAGACCAGATGTAGAACTGCAGACCAACAATGATGGTCCACCAATAATGACTGCAGAAGTTGAGGATGCATTGCACCCGAGCCAGACATATCACTGGAAAAAATCTAAGCACTGGAATATTTTGGATTTGAAATAATAACTAAACTTTTAAATGATATTTATAATAGTTGGTGCACTCTAGATAACCTTTTAAGATCCATATTTATAGCTCTGCCAAAAAAAACAGGCGCTTTAAAATGTGAAGACCATCGCACAATAAGTCTTCTGAGTCACATGACTAAGATTTTACTGAGAATAATTATGAGAAGAATAAGAAACAAAATTAAACCAGAAATCAGCGATGAACAATGTAGATTTATTGAAGGAAAAGGTACAAACAATGCCAAATACATCCTAAGGACATTGTCAGAAAGAGCTATAGAAGTAAAGACTGATTTGTACTTATGCTTCATAGACAATACAAAAGCATTTTGACTGTGTGAAACATGAAGAAGTAATCAAACTATTAGACAAATTAAACATTGATGGAAATTTTCTTCGAATAATAAAGAATGTATATTGGCAGCAAACAGCAGCTATAAGAATTAACAACTGTTTAGGTACATTTCAGAGCATAAAGAGCGTACGACAAGGATGTGAACTGTCACCTGATTTATTTTAACTATACAGCGAATATATAATGAGACCTTTAATTGATATGCCCGGAATTGTGGTTGATGGGCACAATATAAACCATTTACGTTATGCTGATGACACAGTCATGATAGCAACAAGTCAGAAAGAACTACAGGAAATGATAGACATTGTGGTGGTAGAAAGTGGAAGAATGGGCCTCAGTTTGAATAATGGGAACACAGTAGTAATGGTGGTATCAAAGAAAAGAATTATTCCTAAATGTGTAATAAAAGTCAATGGTGTTATTTTGGGACAATAACAGAAATTTAAATATTTGGGCACATGGATAACATCAGATGGAAGATGCATAACTGAGATAAGAAACAGAATAGGACAGGCAAAAACTGCATTTTATAAAATGAAGAACATCTTACGCAATATGTCTCTGTCATTAAAGGTTAGAAAAAGAATTCTTGCTTGCTACAGAAATCCCGTTTAAACATATGGCTGTAAGTCCTGGACAATCGGAAGACAGGCCAAACAGTTTCCTGAGCCTCAGAGATGTGGTTTTACAGAAGAATGCTTAAAATACCTTGCACAGCCAAAAAGAGCAACCAAGAGATTTTGAAAAAGGCGGGAGCCCGAAGACAACTTATCACAGACATCAGAAGGAGACAGTCATCAGTTTTCTACCATGTTATGAGAAGAGGGAAAATGGAACATTTTGTGACCACTGGAAAGATCTGTGGAAGGAGAGAGAGAGGAAGACAAAGAGAAGATTCTTGACAGTTTTGCTGCATGGCAGGGAGGTCTGTCAGCACAAGAACTAATACAGGCTGCAGGAGATCACAGATTTTGAAGAGGCAAGGCACCTGATGATGGTGATGATGATAGAACTTTATTTATACATAGTTCTAAATACCCAATGTGCAGAGGTTCAGGATGGGTCCTTTGCTTTTACTTTTAAGTAATACTTAAAATATGGAATTTAAAATGATGTCATTATTTTTCTTTGTTGGCAATTCTTCAGGACTGTGATCTCGGGGTATGCACCACTATTCATGCATTCTGCTGGTGTGATGATGGCTTAAACAGTGGAGATGTAGCTCTTAAAATTCCTCTCCCTGGAGCTCAGGGAGTTCAACCTGTAACTGAATCTCAGATTCCTGAAGCTAGGGAATCAGATGTGGATGTAGGAGAGTCGTTCCCTGTACACCAGTCTGTTGCTGGAGGGTCTGATATTGATATCAGAGAACCATTGAGTCGAGGCCACTGCTCTTCTGCGACTGTAGGATCTGATGTTGATATCAGAGAACCATTCGGTCGAGCCCGCTGCACTGCTGCAGCTATAGGGTCTGATGTTGATGGAGCTGCTGGCACCCATGCAAGAGAAAAGACGCTGGGTGACAAGATGTGCAGCAGAACAGTGCGACAGAATGGTATGTAAACATTCTTAATGTGAAACTGGGGACATTTTTTGAACACTTTCTTATATCTATTCATATTTTTATGTCAGAATTCTGACAATTCCCAAGTAAAAAATACCTATGATTTGCACTGATAACACAGTAGCAGGTATCATTACAAATCTGAAAATCTAGACCCAGCAAGAAGAGAAACAGGTAACCACATTATGAAAATCTACCAGGGGGAAAAACTGCTGCAAGGAAAGAATCAAAATCAAAGTTGAAGCATTAAGAAATAAAATTATCTGTACTGAAGCTCATATATAGATGTAGGACTGAAACTGTATAAGTTACCTTTTTTATATATCTTTGTAAATTTCGAAATTTGTTTTTAAACTTTAGATACATTTATTAGTGACCTTTGTTAAATGGCTGTTTGTGTAAGGATTTGGAGGAAAGGGGGAGGAGGGAATTTCCGTGGAATCATAGCTCATTTTATTTTAACATTCTCATTGTTAAAATCAAAATAGGAAGTTGATGATGATATTTGATTATTTTCATATGATTCTGTTTTACATTTTCCAGCTAATTTGTTCACATATATTTTTCATTTATCTTTGCAGAGTGTCACAGGTTCTTTGTCTTCTGTAAACTTTGTGACTGTATCCGTCCAGCAAAGTTGAGGTTGAGTTGTACAGAATGTGGCAATGGAGCGTTTATTTTAGAACGAGTAAGCTTTGTATGTTTTTTTAAATAATGTATTGTTGAGACGTTTATCTGACTATATCTTTCAGTAAACACGTGTTACTCGTTAGTCCTGGGGTCGGTACTGCCATAGCCATGTACAGTGTTATATTTTCCATTTTCTAAAAATGGAAGGCCAGCTTTATACTGAGGGGTGTTGGGAAAAAAAAGGGGGGGGGGGCAGCATTACCTTCTTCCACACACATCTAGGGTGACCATAATGTCTTGAGCTAAAAATGGGACATCCCAAGCATGTCAGTTTAACCCAACTCTGTTTTCTTCTATGTGCCTTTTTGAAAGGGTTAATTGCTTGCTTGAAAATGGTATTAATACCCGTACCGTGTCACCGAGAAATGAGTGAAACAGTTTCCTCTTTAACTGCACTGAAAAAACATGCTGCAGTGAAAATTTTCACCAGCACATTTAGGCTTTAAAATTATCCAGAGCTTTTTAACCCTAGAAAAATAGGTGCCAGTACTCACTATAAAGTGTCTGTTACAGTAGCGCCAAAAAACTGAAGCACTAAAAAGCTACAAGTACTGCATACTGCCAGAAAAAAAAACTTGAAGTATCTCAAACTATTTAATTTAATAAGGTCTACAAACATAACTAAATATAAGTGTGTATATTCTGTTCTCGAACTGATCGCTAAATTTGTATAAAACAGGACCATTGGCACCTTTTTTAGACTGTCTAGATGAAAACTGGACATATGGTCGCCCTACACGTATCCCTCCCAGACTGTTCCCTAAACATTTCTGAATCAGCTACTACTCATTTAATCCCCCTCAGCACAAAGAAACATCTACAAAGCATATTTATCCCCACCCTATGCTACCAATGCCAGACATGATCACTCATAACAGACCATTAAAGAAAATTTATTAACGATGGAGATGTGGTGTCTGAGAAAGGCTGCAGGAGTGACCAGATGACCAGCTTGAAATTTTTAACAGCATCATTTTGATCAACATCATGGCACACATATAATAATACATAAGTACTGCGTTCTTCTTCTTAATTAAGTCCAAGTCCAAAGAAGTTCAGCACAATGAACAGGCGGGGATCCTGAAATACTTTGGGTAGATTTTAACTCAAAATTTTGCCCGGGCAGCGCTGTTACGCTACTCTTTTCGATTTCCGACTGCCAAGGGATTTTTTAAAAACTGTACAACAATGCACACGGGCGTCCGATCTCACTGTCCAGAGACCAGGGAAAATTACTAGAAGTCTTAGTCCACGTGAAAGAATGCCAGCCCTTACCGCGGATTGAACTTGGAACCTCTAGCACTTGAGGTAGACACCTTGCCTTGAGACTGCACAGCCCTCCCCCCTCCCCTTCCCTGATAAAATCAGGAATGAGGTCCTAAGAAAAAAGTTGACACAGAACCAGTACTGAATTATATACAATTAAACAGTTTGCCCACATAGAGGGAATGTCTTGTGATACTGTAGCATGCGAGGCAGACACCAAAAAAGGAGAGCAATGTAGAGCAGGAGATAGACCAGAACAAGGTAGAAACTGTACAACAGTATGATGGTCGAGGCACCCAGAAGAGCAAGAAGCAAATCCCTATTTCTTCCTCAACACCTAAAGTCATAAAAGAGGATTGTGTTAATTTATTTATATATTGACTAATTTTTTTTTTTCAAGAACCCATTCCAAATATTCCAGTAAAGTTCCTGTGTCTTTGTCTTGATTTTTAAAACTAAAAATGTTTCATCTATAACTTGTATTATATCAAAGTTCCTAATCTTACTGAATCTTATTCTGCAAAACTTGTAACAGTGAGCTAATTGACTTTCTTTTGTTGAATTATCACACTTTCACATTATTTATATTGGAAAACAGGGACCTTCCAACTGGGAGGACATATCATCGAATACTACCTTGAAAGGAGTTTGTACAACACCCAGCTGTGATTGCAATACCCCAGTAAGTTGAACAGTGAATTTCAGCATTTTAAATGTTTGCTCATTTTATATATAATATATATTAATTGTAATAAACCTTGGCTTGACTTGGACTGCGCCTTGGCTTACTACTTATTGGCTTTAGCCACGGCTCACTCTCTGGATGTTACTGCTACACAACTTGCACTACTTTAACGTCTAGAGTTGACAGCACAAACGCCGCTCAGCTTCTTGGTACATTCTGTCAGTTTATTCTCGTCCATTTATTTCACATGTTCAAACATTATTTACACTTTATCACTCACGACATATTCAACACTAACCATTTGCGCAACATAAAGACGACATCTTCAAATACTACAACCGTCTTCTCTGACTTCTGATGATCGACTGACCACGAGGCTAGCTCGGGCTTTCCCTCGCTTCCTCGACTAGGCACAAGTATCTCGTGCTGTCCCTTGTTGCACGGACTTTCTGCTTGCCACTATGTAATCGTGAGAACCATGCAAAGCAGGGTCATTACATTAATAAATATATTTTAAAATCATGGAATCAAGAAAGAAGAAGAGGGAATTACCCTAAATATTTTTAACACTATAACAACAAATACAGTAAAAGTGAGAATTGACAAATGTTGTGTATTTTAGAACCCCATCGAAAATGAACAGTCTACTGCATTTTTTAGTCATATTGGGAGAAGCAGAACACAGGAGTATGTCGTGACAATGGAAAATTGACTGTGAAGAGAGGCAGAAGGAGACAAAAGAGAGGCAGAAGGAGACGAAGCGTGAAAGTGCTGAGCAGTATGGTCTTCTTCTTCTTCTCCTCCTACTTAGCGTTCACCAGCTGTAAACTCCGGTGGAAAGTTCTAGTTATTCATCTGCTTCTGGACTGAAGTTCTATTTCAGAACCTGAGTATTGCATGCGTTTCTGTTTTACATTTCCGAATCGTTTAAATGCGGACTGTTGGGTCCATGCCTCTCAGGAAGTTGCACTCCGACTTTGAAGAAAGCTCCCAATTAGTTTAATCTTATGACATGCTTTTGGGTAGGCTGTGGCTTGTTTTTCCTAAAATAGGGTCCCAGAACCCACCCAGAGAGGCAGTGTGGTTTGGAACCCACACAGAGAGGCAGTGTGGTGTGGAACACACAGAGGCAATGTGGTTTGGAACCCACACAGAGAGGCAGTGTGGTGTGGAACACACAGAGGCAGTGTGGTTTGGAACCCACACAGAGAGGCAGTGTGGTGTGGAACCCAGACAGAGAGGCAGTGATGTGTGAAAGAACTTCTATGTCAGAAATGGCTGCCAGTACACAAGACAAACGTGGATGGGCATAAATACCAGCATTGACCATGGAAAAAAAAATTAGTTACATATCCTTTACAGGAGGTTGCAGAACTAACCCAGCATTGTGTGTGCGTGCATGTGTTTGTAATTTCACTAGGCAGTTTTGTTTTCAGTAGTTTGCCATTACTTCTGAATAGTCAACTCTCAGTACCACTGTCGAAACCAGCACTAGGCAATTTGCTCTGAAAACACCAAAACCCGGCGCTCGGAATTACGAAACACGTTTGCAATGCCGAAGCCACAGACTCTGACATGAAGTTTTAGAAGATGTATCTGAACACTGCAGTCTGCTGAGGAAACCGCAACACTGAACAAGCACCTAGTTGAATTAGGACTCTGGAAATGAGGATGTACAGAAGAATAGGTCATATTTCATGAAAACATGGGGTCTGGAAACGCTGGGAATGAAAAGAGTTAATGAAACACATTAAAAAAAAAAAGAAGAAGTAGAAGAAAAGACAAATAAAATGTTTAAAATGAGAACCAGACAATTTTCAGAATTTCTGTAAATTATCTGATAAGAGTAGATTGTGGAAGAGAACTAGATATTCTGTCTCACTGTGTCATGGTCATTGATATAAGAGACCTTAGATTTTACACTAAGGCTTCATTGTCTGTTGTGTGACAAGCTGTTAACTTTAGATGTGCACAACTTATTTGTTCTAATTTTCCTTACTTGCTTGCCCCATCATGTATCATGCCTGGTAGCACATGTGATGTTATATATCTGTTTAATGTTTTCTCATTCAGTTTCACTGGCGGACATTTTCTGTGTAACTCCACTGACTCTTTGAGCATTCTCTCTGTCTGTGTCTCTTCTTCTGACACTGATTACTGTGATCTAACACACACACGCACACACAAATGGCTGTCTTGCCCTTTATAAGATTAAACCTGTCTTTATAAATTTGTCTGCTTGTTGTCCACTTACTGTAGCATAGACCCACAACCAATTTATGCCAGGCTGTCCTATCTTTTGTCATCTGCTGCAGCTCAGTCCGTGTCTTTCCAACGTTTTTCGCCTGTCTCTATTTCTCTACCTTGAATCTGTTAGTCCCCCTCCGTCATTTTGCCCTTTTTTTTCTTTCTGTACAAGAACATGCTGGTTATAGTATTATCAGGTTTTCTCTCTGTCCTGTTAAGTGACATTGTCTTTCTTACCATTCATTTCATTGAAATTCATTTTGTTCTGTTCCTGTGTTAGGTATGGTGGTTTAACTTGTTTTTCTCCCCCAGAAATTTTACCTGAGATGTAGTCAAAGCCACGAAGGAGAGCTGGAAGGAACATCTGTGGTGCTAAAACATGTACAGTCTAACCATCGAAGAATAGCATGTATCATCTGTGAAGATGTTGTGTAAGTATTTCGTCTTCTGCGTTCACCTGAAGATATAAATGTGTTGTGCCCATTTACAATATGGCTGCAATATTTGCGCCTTTCGGCCTTCGCATCCAACTTCTGCAGGCATTTGATGGCCTGGTTAACCTTCTCATGTGTAAGTATTTTATTCTGATCTTACCCATGGCCATTAAGTGACTGTCCTCGCCCATATGGTTTCGGGGGTCCTATTTGGTCCTAAGTTATGAAATAGCAATGAAAATAATTTTATGGTTAGGGGTCACTACAAAATGTATTAAAGGATCATGGTGTTAAGAAGGTTGAGAACCCCTGCTCTAGTAGATGGCTAATTAGGGGTTTGCTAAAATCAGAGGTGTTGGGCAGAAGCATGCAAATATTGCAGCCTAGATTTAAACAGCAACATAATGTACCAACTACCCTTTTAAGGGTGAGCATAGAGGGAAGACTAAAGAGTTAATGTGTATGTTTGTTGGCATTCAAATGTTCTTAAACTTAATCTTTTAATTTTTAATAATTGAGTACCTTTCTTCTTTATAACAATTTTTTCCCTGCAGGTCTCATATCTTAATATTCCCTTGTTCTCTTGGTCATGTGATTTGCCTGGAATGCTTTCGTCAGTATGGTTCTACTTGCTTAAGTGAACGTCGATTTGTTGAACATCCTCTACATGGGTATACTCTGCCTTGCCCAGGTGATTTATTGTGTTTTCTTTATCTATGTACGCTGTTTTATTTTATGAAATGTATGTAATTTAGTGGGAACAGAAACTATCAAATACAGAGTTTCTAGAAAGAGTGGGAATAAAGAGAGTTGCTGAAAGAAATAAAGGTAAAATTTTAATATTTTGGCCTTATTAAAAGACATTACATTAAAAATGAAAATTTTGCTTTTTTTTTTCTTGTTACTTCTTCTTATTCTTTTTCTTCGCGTTCACCAGCTGTTAACTCTGACGAAAAGTTCTGGTTGTTCATCCACTTCTGGACTGCAGCCCTGTTCCAGAACCTGATTGTTGCATGTGCATCCATTTTACAGATCTGACTTATTTGTATGCAGACTGCTGGTTCCTTGCCTCTCAGGCAGATGCACTCCGACATTGAAGGAAGCTCCCATTTAGTCGACTCTTACGACATGCTTTTGGGTAGGCAGTGGGTCTCTTCTTGTTACTGAAGCAGCTTCGGTGTGGATTGCAGCTTCTGCTCACCACAACAATCTTTGTTGGAGCTTTTATAGGTTTAGAGTGTGGTTAGTGCCTTGTGGGAGAGCATGTACAGTTTGGAGGAGCAGATGGATCACCACAGTCTAGTAAGATTGATGCATCATCATCACAACAGCTCAGAACATGATTCCTTAAAAACGACACAAGAAACAGATTTACATTACAGAAAAAACTTTCAAGCTGATAGAAGAAAGAAGAAATTTAAAACAATTAGGGACAGAAACAAATAGCCATGCATATAGGAACCATACAAAAGAAATCATAAGAGCTATCAGAGGAGATAAAAAACAGTTTATTATAAATACCTGTAACAGAATTGAACAACTCCAAATGCAAGGAAGAAACAGAGACATGTTTAAAGAAATTAAAACATTGAAAGGCGAATTCATGCCTTTTTTCATGTAATAAGTGATAAAAATGTTAACACATTAACGGAAACTAAAGACATTAGAAAGATGAAAAGAATAATGCAGAGAAATGTATGAGGATCTGACAGGTAATTAAAAAACAGCTTATGAAAGTTATGAAAAAGAACCAGAGCCTTTACTGGATGAGGTACGATCAGCAATACACAGCATGAAGAATGGAAAGTCATCAGGTTGCGACGAAATACCAGCAGAACTAATTCAAGCAGGAGGAGAGGCCAGCGTCCAAATCTACCATGCATTTTGCACGAAGATCTGGAACAGAGGCATTTGGCCTAAAGTGTGGAAAAGAACAATCTATATCCCTATCCCAAAGAAAGGAAATCTGAAACTATGCACCAACTTACGAACCATCGCATTAATAAGTCATGCTAGCAAAATCCTTTTACGAATTATCATGAAGAGGATTGAAAGGAAATTACAATGTGAGCTACATGAAGCACAAGTGGGTTTCAGACAGGGTAGATGAACTAAGGATCACATCTTTAATATGAGAATAGTTTTTGAAAAATTCAGAGAATACAACGTGGAATAGATCTTCAAGCTTGTTTTATTGATTATGGCAAGGCATTTGATTTTGTCCAACATCAGAAACTGGACTATTATAATAAGAATGGGGTTTTCAGCGCATTTAGAGCATTTAATTGAAAATCTTTATCATGAACAACAAGCAGCCATCAGAGCAGCTGGTGAAACATCAGATTGGTTCGAGGTGCGAAAGGGGTGTGAGGCAGGGGTGCATTCTCTCACCATACCTTTTCAATATATACGCAGAAAATATAGTGAGAAATGTCAAAATGACCAGACTTGTGACAGTTTTGATCCGCTCAAAATTGGTGGCAACCCTATTCCGGAACTCCGCTACACAGATGACACAGTCCTCCTTTCGAACAGCGTAAAGGGGATAGAAAATTTAATATTGTCTGTCCAAAAGCACAGTGAAGATCAAAATCTGTTCTTGAATTTAAAGAAAATGAAATTAAAGTCCACAGATAAAAATAACAATAAATGATAAAGAAATGGAAAATGTCACAAACTTTGAATATCTAGACTATAATAAATAGCAATGGAGACTGTTTGGCAGAAATTAAAAGGAGGATGGCCATAGCAATGAAAGATTGAACAGCCTTAAAAGTCTTGGGTTAAGCACCAGCAAGGAGATCAAAATTCAAATTTTAAGAGCATTCATCTTCCCTGTGGACTACCTCCCAGTCCTTAAGAAAGAGAATAGGGGCTTTATACATGGTACCAGGAAGGAGGGGCAGGGGCCAACCGACACGAAGATGGGCACAGGCAGGAGAGCTGGTGAGAGACCAAGTTTCTTTCAGGCAAACCATGATGAGAGCGACATTCTGCAAAGGACCTGCTACATGATGATGATGATGACTATTGCAATAAAAGCTCACGGCCAGCTAATCGAAGGAAAATTATTTTTAAATATTGACTTGAAAGACCAGAATAAACACTTGAAGTTAACTAAGAGCAAGGGAATATATTCATGGAAAACGTAAATTAAAAGCTTACTGCATATCCAGATATCTGGGTAGCAGTATTCACAAAGAATGGGTGGAAGATGGTGATATTAAAATAAGAAATTTGAAAAAAAAGTTTTCCTAATGTTAAAACATTTTTTGGAGTCAGAAAAAAAACTAGTACCAAGCTTAAATATTTACGTTCAGGTGTCAAATCGATTCTTCTCTACAGGGCAGAAACAGTGAGAATTATTAAAACGATTATTAATAAACTACATTCACTCAATTTGTGGTGCTTGGGCAAAATAGAATGACTAAGACATTATGACTCCCCTCCCCCCCTCCTTGAAACAAATAAACTGCCATAACTATCTGTATGCCATATGTGGGTTTTGGAGACCCATTTGGGGGAAAGGGGGGGGGGGGGTACACTCACTGCCCCCTTACAAGCATGCCGTAGAAGGCAACTTCTTAAGGGTTTGCTAAAATCATATGTGTAGGACCAAAAATGCACAGATATTGCAGCCTAGCTGTAAACAACACAGCGTATTAACTACACTTTTCATGTCAAATACAGAAGACTGCGGCAAACTAGCTTCTTATTATTACTTAGATAGCAATGTGTTTTTTTTTAACGATAATAATCTTGTGCTTCAGTCATAATAACCAAAAAGAAATAACCCTTTTTTTTTCCTAGCTGGTTGCGTCGACTCACATATAGAAGAGAGTCATCATTTCATTTTGCTGGGACCTGAGAAGGTACACCTTGATTATTTCTCTGATAGTGTTTGTTTTAGGATTGATACATACTTAGTGGTTCAGTACTGAAATTTTGATGGAAAAACGTTTTTGTTTGTGATGTGTTATATTTAAGCCATGGAATTGGTAAAAACACATTATTCTTTGCCAATACAGAACTAATACTTAACTTAACATTTGTAAATCTGATGTCAGATCAGTACTGTTGTATGGAGCCAAAACATGGTGAACAACTAAAAGTATAAACTACAACCATGCATCAACTGGTGCCTGTGCAGAATGGAGGGAAATAAATGGTATGATAAACTCAGGTAACTGCCCTGACGGAGAAAAAAACGGCAACACCTAATGCCATTGTGGTCTTGAGTTCAGTTCTTGAAAGTGTTTGAGTTGTCATTTGTTTTACAAGTCTGAATTGAACTTGTTCTGCAAATCATCTTTAGTCTGAAATGTTGATCGAGCAGATCTTTTAAGCATATATTATATATGCCAGTTTGAGATATTAAATATGGCCTTCGTATATTATGGTACATGAAAAACACTTCATGAAATCTTACCAGTTGTTACACTAACAGAAAAATTAATGTTTGAATCCTGGTTACATATCTGAAAAAGTATGCAGGTTACACTTTGAAGCAGTATTTGCAACTTGTATTAACTTTCTTCTTCTTTTTTTCTTTGCGTTCACCTGCTGTAAAATTTAGCAGAATGTGCTGGTTGTTGTCTGTTTACGGGCTTTGGTCTTGTTCCAGAACTTGAGTTTTGCATTCACATCCAGTTTGTAGATCTGGCTACATTCTACACAGACTGTTGGTGCCTTGCCTCTCAAGTAGCTGCACTTTGACTTGGAAGAAAACACCCCTGATTGGTCACTTTCTATGACCGGATTAACAAATGCTTGATGAAGTGGGAAATGAAAGGCACAAATATCACAGCTTTACTGTAAACAGGCACAATCCAGTTAGATCACTAGGACAAACAAGAAGAAGAAGAAATCCTGTTGCTTCTGGATCTAGACCCACCTCCTCAGACATGCACTAGACATTTCTCTGTGGAGAAATACACTTGTGAAAGATGCTTGTCACCCCACCTGGTAAAACTGACCAAGTGATAATGGAAACTGACCACCACACAGTAGATGTCATCCAGTTAATGGAGTTCGGGTTACGCCGGTGTGTTGGGAAATGAACAGGCGGACGGACTGGCTGGCTCTGCACAACTTGGTGGAATACTGCTACATGATAGGGCAGATGTGGTTAGTGCCTTGTGGGAGAGCGTGTACAATTCGGAGGAGCAGATAGATCACCACAGTCTAGTGAGATTGATGCAGTTGGGGGTGACGAGAGGTTCTGGCAGAAGCTCGAGGCTCAGAGGAAAGGCAAGACGGACGTTTAATCAGAAAGCTACTGGCACCATTAGTATCGGACTCTTCGCTGGCTGCTGAAGATGGGGACGGAGCGCTTATGGGAATGCCCCGAGTGCTGTGATGTTGGTTCTTTAATCAAATCAAATCAGATCAGTTAATGGAGTTAACTGTTGTCCTTTAATACCTGTAATGATGCTATAAATAGGGATAACGCCAGGGGATGACTGATATAATTGGGGAAGTCCCTGAGAGCATGGGTTTCACGGAGATATGGTGAAACGACAGGAAAGAGTAGTCACGTGTGAATGGTGAGATCTGGGGGATTGAGAATCAGGCGGGCATTCGGTGACTGGGCCCCAGAGAGAAAGGATGTGAAATGAAGCTGTGAAGATGAATGGAGAATGACGAGAGCATGTGGATCTGAATCGGCGAGGAATGAATGACCGTGAAGGCCAGCTGTTATGGTACCCTGTTTGATTGTTAAAGCCAGCCGTGAATATGTCAACGTCTATTGTCCGAATGCTGTAAGTGGATTCTCCTGTGATTCGTGTATTGTGCTCCAGTGATAATAAACTCGTGAAATGTGCCGCTAGTGTCAACCGTGTTAGAAGTTGTGTGACCGTGAAGAAGATCATGTCTGCTTTGATTGAGTTGTGACCCTCTAGACATCAGAGCCAGTGTTAACTCTGCACCACAGATAGCCAGTGTGGAGGAGACACAAGTGCAGTCATTTCATCGAGTCATTACATTGATTCATTACATTGGGGACCCGTCCTAAGTGCGAATACATTGTAATTTATAAGTATGAGTTACAGTGGAGGCTTGTTCTAACTATGGCAGTACATTAGACGTAGTGTTATTGTGGACAGAAGTAAAATTTAGGCAAACACCGGCAGCCGTAAGTTTTGAGTGACTATGTGTGTTGGAAGATGGAGTTTAAAGAAATGTCGGGGTATTATGTAAGACCAGGACATGCTGTCAAAGGGCATTAAGTAAAACCGGGACAACTGAATTCCAGACTCTGGTCATTCTGAGACAAACAAGCTAGCCTGAGAAAAAGTGGTAGAAACACGGCGAAGCAATACTGGGTAATGTATTCACTCCACGTGTGAAAAAATTGCACACGTTTCATCCCGCGACGTGGGAACGCTTGTTCGTCGCTGGAAGAGACAGTGTAAGCTGAACTTTTGACCCTTGTGGTGGGTAATCCACGACGGAAAATTATCAGCAGCAGTATCCCTGTGATCGTTGTTTGACGTGGGTTTTGTTCGTCAAACAAGAGGTCATAAACCAGAGATACCAATTTCGGACTAGATTTCTCCGCAAAAACACTGCATTGCCAGGGGCCAAGACGGCACTCAGTTACAGCAAGCAAGGTCATCAACAACGGTCAAGTACAACACAGTAGCAGATAAAAGGTCATCAGCGACAGCTAACTTGAGGCAACCGTACAGCACACCGGCCATAAATGAATGCCTCAGGTCAAGAATACTTGTCAATAAAAAAGAACGGGGTCCAGTCAGTACCAGAAGTAGTACTTTTACTACTAAATGTTTGTAATACGTCCGTATAGGTGAGTTCAAGTGTTATGGTGTAGGCAAGAAGGAGTGGTGTTTATCAACATTAATTACGTCACGAAATGTTTACAATTTATAATGGATAGACAGTAAAAACAGTGATTAATGTGATAGACTATGACTATTCAGGTTGTAGGGTAAAACTACATACATTCTCTGTAAGAAAAGTATTTCAGTGAGAATATAACATTTATCAACAGTTTGTGGTGACAATTAAAGTGAAATTAATATGCGCTAACTGTGAACATTTAGTGATCTGTGCCAACTGATCAACTTCAGTGTAGATTGTTAAACTACATGGTATAAAGACTTTTGGATATATGTGAATTACTGAATGAGCATAAACTAATGGTAGTCTTTTAAGATCATTTACAGACTTAGACCACGACACAAGACAAGAGCAGTGTCCTACAAAGATCAGAAGAGCCTGTCCACAGACAGTAAAGACGTGCAACGGAGCATCAAGGGCCACAAACCTAATCCAGTCCATTCCAACAGCAGAATAGCAAGGGAGCCATCACCAGGACCAAGGAAAAAGAATTAACTCATTACATTGTTTACATGCTTTCTTTTTTCTAGTTTCAGGTTCTTTGATTGTGATATTCTATTATTCTGTTTAAGTAAAATAGATAATTTTTTTTTTTTTATTTATTAGTTGAGTATAAAAATTTGTTAGGGGATATAATTAAATTTAAACTTTCAATTATTTAGTTAAAGAAGGGTATAAAATAAATAATACGGAATTTATCTTAAATTTAAACAGTTTCAAAAGTAATAAGTTACAATAATCAGTTTTAAAATGTCAAACCTAGCAGAATACATAAATCTGGGAAAACAGTTAGGGTTATCAGGAGAGGAATTGAGAAAATTCTGTGAAGGAAGAGAACAGGAAGATAAAGAAGCACAAAGGATCCAACAACAATTGGATCGAGAAGAAAGAGCCGCAGCACGCGCCCAGGAGGCAGCGCTAAGAGATAAACAATTACAACAAGAAGCAGAACTGAAAAATAAACAGTTACAACATGAAGCAGCAATGAAACAACAGCAATTAGACCATGAGAAAGAAATCAAATTACAAGAATTAAAACTTGAACAGGAGCGGTTGTCAGCACAAATAAATGCAGACAGACAAAAGGTTGAAGCACAGATAAGAACAAAAGAAATGGATAATGAATCCAAAGCAGAACTGGCAGCACAAAGGGAAAGAGCTAAAGAAGAAGAACATAAATTTACAAAATACAAAGGATTAATAAAGAATTTTGGTGAAAAGAATGACATTGGATCATGGATTTCAGCATTTTTACTACAAGTTCGGTTTCATAAAATTCCAAAAGAAGATTGGGCAATACTGTTCCAAAGACACCTTGGAGGAGAACCGTTAAAAATACTGGAGACAGTGCCAGAAAATTTACGACTTGATTTTGATTATATTAAAGACCGGATAATGAGACACTATGACCTACAAGAAGCAGGATACAGATTGCAATTCATTGATTTAAAACCAAAATCAACTCAAACATTTGTCGATTATATGTCCGAAGTTCAGACAACTTTTCAGAAATGGGTGGATTCAGCCAAAATTAACAACGACTATGATCTGTTAGTTGATTTACTATTAAGAAGTAAATTGCTAGAATCATTACCAAAACCTATGACCACATTTCTGAAGGAACACAAACCTACTTCGTTAAAACATCTTGAACAACTAGGAGAAAATTATTATGCAGCACATCGTGATATTTTTCTCATACCACAAAACACTGATATATACTCAGGAGCCAGTGCCGAAGGACAAAAGTCATATGAAGCAGGATATAATAGATCAGCATATCCGTCCAGAAAAAGAGTTAATGAAGGAAAATAACAACAATAGATTGTGACATATGCAAAAAAAGGCATGGTAATGAAACCATATGCGATGCCAATCAATTGTATGAACAAGAAGTCAGAAAGAAAATTGAAAATAGGAGAAAAAAGGTAAAGAGATATGATAGTTCAAGTAAATGCTGGGCTTGTGGATTCTACGGGCACACGCGTCAATTTTGTAAATATAAGAAAGAATTTAAAGCAGCAGCAGTATGTGAAACATCAGACTCCGAGTCAGGAAGTGAAATATCAGAAACAAATGCAGCAGTGCTACTAGAAGACAAATGCACAATGTGTGAGACGTTTCAAGAATATGGAGACTTGAAATGTGGGCATAAGATACCAGGGCATAATGTAAATTCTGTAAAGGATTATGGAAAGTTAAACCTACACAAAGGGATTGTTGGTAATCGAATCGTGTCAATTTTGAAGGACACAGAAGCAGCGATCTCAGGTATACATAAGTCATTAGTAAAACCAGAGGACATGACTGATAAAGTTGTTAGATGTAGAACATTCGGAGGTAGAATAGAAAAATTCAGAATAGCATCAGTATGGGTGAAAACGCCATATATCACTAAGAAGATGGACATGGCTGTATTATGTTCGCCGTGTGCAGAACTTATCATTGGTAACCAACCAGGGCTGAAAGAGATGACAGATTATGAAATAAAACAGTGGGAGAAAGAAAACATACCGCAGATGACAGAAGAGGTGATGCTAACCACGCAGAGACAAGAGACAAATGCGGTCATGGAAGATAAAAGTGACAGTATAAATCTGCAAGAAATAGAAAATGTAGCAGCAGTCACAAGGAGTGTAACTAAAAATCATCAAACTCAAGAGCACTCCGTAAACATGCACAAAGAACAAATACCAATAACTACAGAAGATAAAAACAGATTTTTTCCAAGTCTATCAACAAACTACAAAAAACAAGTAAACTTAATAATGCAGTGGCTAGTAACATTAATTGTGACAGTGTTAATGTCAAGTGTTAGTTGTTGTGTTACATATGTTAGGAAAGTTGCAATATTAAAGTATCAGTTATTTACAATGCAATTTAACAGGAAGCCGACAAAATTAAACTGTGATCAGGGAAAAATAATAAAATATAAGTTTCGAGCAAGAGGCATTAACTATTGTGATCAGTTTAAAAAGAAGAAAAAAAATGATAGAATTTCCTACTTAGAAAAGAATTTACAGTCATTACAGGTAAAATTGCAGAACATAAATGCTAATGACAACGCTAGTTTACCATTAGACATTAATAAAAAAGTTTAAGTTTGATATTAGGCATGTAAAAGGGGTTGACAACCACATTCCAGATATTATGTCTAGGTTATAAAGATAGTAAGCAGAAATAGTCACAAGGGGAGTTAAATAGAAAAGGGAGATAATTATAGGTAACAAGTAAACAGAAATAATCACAAGGGGAGTTAAATAGAAAAAGGAGATAATTATAGGTAACAGTCTAACATTACTAACAAATGTTCAATAAACGTGTTGTTACTAACAATTAATATTCAAATAAAATAAATGTTGTATGATGTGATGATATGAAAGTTATGATGTGAAAGTGATAATGAGGAATGGTGTATGAAGTCAAAATAAAACTAAGAGATGGTGTATGAGCTCATAATAAAACAACAGACACATTAGGTTATAATAAAAATTTTATTAACAACCATTACAGATATATTGAAACATAGAAATTTGGAAATATCTATTATATAGTGTACAAACGGAAAATGAAATTGCCACAATGCTAAAATGAGAAAATTCTGGCAAAGTAAAGACCATGGTGAATGACAAAGACCAACAAGAAGTAGCAATCACTTTTAATGAACTGTCAACAGGAACTTGGTTCTATGGGGGACATACAGAACTGTGTGATTTATAAGTCTGGTTTTGGAGCCATTTTTGGACTTCCGCGTTGTTGAGGAACGCTTTGGGGTGTTGTTCAGTCTTCTTTATGTAGACTGACTTCAGGACTTGATAAGTACGTCACAGAGCCTATAAGGTCATCCGCGTTGTTTGAGGAACGCTTTGGGGAGGTGATTCTGTTAGCATATTGCCAAGAACTGTCAAGGGGAGTGACAAGAGATGCTGCATATGTTGTATAAGTCAGAGAACCGATGGTAGAATTCCAACCAACAGTAAAAGAATATTAGTAAAATAAGGCAATATATTCTGATATGAAAATTTATATACGTTTATGGAAAAAAAAAATATTGCATATTTTTTTTTGTTTAAGGGGAGGAGAGATGTAATGATGCTATAAATAGGGATAACGTCAGGGGATGACTGATATAATTGGGGAAGTCCCTGAGAGCATGGGTTTCACGGAGATATGGTGAAACGACAGGAAAGAGTGAGTCACGTGTGAATGGTGAGATCTGGGGGATTGAGAATCAGGCGGGCATTCGGTGACTGGGCCCCAGAGAGAAAGGATGTGAAATGAAGCTGTGAAGATGAATGGAGAATGACGAGAGCATGTGGATCTGAATCGGCGAGGAATGAATGATCGTGAAGGCCAGCTGTTATGGTACCCTGTTTGATTGTTAAAGCCAGCCGTGAATATGTCAACGTCTATTGTCCGAATGCTGTAAGTGGATTCTCCTGTGATTCGTGTATTGTGCTCCAGTGATAATAAACTCGTGAAATGTGCCGCTAGTGTCAACCGTGTTAGAAGTTGTGTGACCGTGAAGAAGATCATGTCTGCTTTGATTGAGTTGTGACCCTCTAGACATCAGAGCCAGTGTTAACTCTGCACCACAGATAGCCAGTGTGGAGGAGACACAAGTGCAGTCATTACATTGAGTCATTACATTGATTCATTACAATACCCATAGGTCAGTAGAACTATGAGCCATGTGGTATTTGTAATCATTGTTCCCTCTTTGTTTTCTTTTCAGTATGAGCATTACAAAATGTTTGGGGCTGAAGAGTATGTGCTGCAGAATGGTGGCGTTCTGTGTCCTGCTCCTGGCTGCGGCATGGGTCTCTTTCCAGAAGAGAATGAGCGCTTAATTAAATGTCAGGAGTGCAAGGTACATGGATTGTATTCATTGTGTATATGGGGGAGTTGCAAATGTTTCTAAAGGATTATTGTCTTCTTCACCAGTCTTCTGTACCCTTGAGGTTCACTACTGCAGATATCACCCAGCTGTGTTCATCTCTGTGATAAGCCTTCTCTTTCCTGTTAGTGACTCCTAGTGTTTGTAGGTCTGTTGTATATTATCCCTCCACTGTCTTCTTGGTTTGCCAAGCATCTCTTTTGTACAGTTTTTGTTAATCTGTTGTTTGCCATCGTCTCTGTATGCCTAAACCATTACCCTCTTTTAGCCCTCATGATGCCAGTTATTAGTAGCAATTTAATAGACTATAAGTTTCATTATTGCTTCTGTCTAAATTTTCCTGTTTTTATCTTTGAAGAGTCCAGAGGTTTGTGATTAGATACTTTTCCAGAAATGATTATTGTATACTTGTATTGTTTTTGTAGTTTTTTTAACACTGTTCTGAATTTGCATTATTATATCTTTGTAAATATCTTCCAAGACATTATTTTTACAAAACCCAACTGATGACAACTTGATGACAGAAGTAGATGTGCTTATTTGAGTGCAAACACAAATACAGTTGAGGGTTGCAACAGAAACCTCATCTTCTTCTTCTTCTTAGCATTCACCAGCTGTAAACTCTGGCGGAAAATTCTGCTTGTTCGTCTACTTCTGGGCTTTAGTCTTGTTTCAGAAGTTGAGTTTTTGCATGCACAATCGTTTTACAGATCTGGTTTATCTATATGGAGACTGTTGGTTCCTCGCCTCTGAGGCAGATGCACTTCAACTTTGAAGGAAATACACATAATTAGTTGCCTCCTACGAAATATTTGTTTAGGGGAAGGGTCGGGGCAGTGGGGTCTGTTATTCCCCTGAGATAAATTTAACCTGAAAGTGCTGTTAAGCAGCAAGCGAGAATAGTAGCCTTGCCACCAAAAGCATAGAAAATATACATATTCAAATATTTAATTCCCATGTTGCAAGAGTTTGTGGAATAATTAATTGTTACTAAACAGTGGTGGCGTCCGTGGCTTAGGCGTTGTGGGTCCGACTCGTAATTCCAACGTATCGCAATCAAAACCCACTGCTGGCTGCGTGGATTGTTATCATTGTATGGGGCGTCTCAGGTCGACCCAGCCTAAAATGGGTACCAGGATGTATGTCCTGGGAAAGTAAAAACGGCCAGGGTAATGCTGACCACATTACCCACCTAGTGCCGATTGATCTGTAAAAATGTGCTCTTCTCATATGCCTGATGCACCTAAAAGCGTGAAAAAATATTTACTTTACTAAACAGTGTATTGGGTTATTTTATAAATTGTGATTGTTTTATTTTGGATACAGTATGAAAGCTGTAGAAACTGCAGGAGAGCTTACCATACAGGTTCCTGTGAAGATTATTTTGATTCAATACATCTTAATCTTTCGGTAGGTATTTGAAGATTTGTTTTATATTTGGTGTTGAGCTTAACTAGTCATGAAGTATTATTAAAATATAATGTAAAATTGGTATAAAGTGACAAACTGTGTTTGCTGAAACAGTGCACAGTGAGTAAATTGTGAAGGGTGTGTGAATATAATCTCTCTAGATGAAATCCTATTCCGAGATGTGGACTCAGATAAGGCAGTAATTTAGACAGTGATGGGGGAACTGATAGAGATAAAAATGACAGTACAAAAGTCAAGAGGAGTAAGTTTACTAAGAAATCGTAGGAAATTAGAGAAAATGAAGATTTACTAAACATGGTATTTAGCTTTAATATCACATCAGTACTATTGTACGGAGCTAAAACCTTTACTAGTAAACTACAAAAATTCATTAACGGGTGCCTGCACAGAATAGATGTAATTAAACGGTGTTATAGAATGACTAATGGCTATGGAAAGAACTAGAAAATTCCATTGAATCAATACGTGAAGAAAAGACACAAAAGGCAACAGATAGGACATACATTGAGAAAACCTGAGAACTTTATAACTAGAATGTTTTTGCACTGGAACCCACAAAGTCAGAGGGATAGTGGCAGACCAAAAAGCACTTGAGCAGAGTACTAAAGAGTGAAGTTAAAACAAGTGAAGAGGATGTGAAGTTAACTCCATGAGGTAGCAAAAAATTTGACAACTTAGCATGAGCTTGTCTGGAGGTCTATGCTCCATTAAAGAATAAAGCGCAGAAAAAAATAAAGAATATGAATGTAAGTTGAGTTTCCATTAGAACATTAGATTATATTAATACTAATTATTTTCATCACATGCCATGCCAAGTACTGTTGCATTCATGTCTCTCCATAGATTTTGGTGTTCCTAATCAATTCTGTTGACAATATTCCTCCATGTGTCCATCACACCATCCAACATAATTTTGCTTGCTCTACCACTGAGCTTTCCATTCATCACTGTCTTCCCGTTTTATATTTGGTGGCCAAATTATTTAGCTACTTGTAAGTAAAGGATGGGGGGGGGGGGGGGCTGCGTAGTCTCAAGGCAAGGTGTCCGCCTCGAGTGCTATAAGTTCCGGTTTCAATCCGCGGTAAGGCTGGAATTTTTTCAAGTGGACTTGGACTTCTAGTATTTCCTCATGTCTCTGGGTAGTGAGATCTGACGCTCGTATGCACTGTTGTGCACGTAAAAAAGTCCCTTGGCAGTGCGAAATCAAAAAGAGTAGCCTAATGGCGCTGCCCAGGCAAAATTTAGAGTTGAAAATCTACCTAAAGTATTTAAGGATCCTCACCGGTGCTACAGAGCCTGTGCACTGTGCTGAGCTTCTTCAGACTCAGACGTGAGTTAGAAGAAAGAACGGAGCACATGTGGGTAACAACCTGTGTGCAATGATGTTGATCCATTGTTCAAACTTCAAAGTAAAGGACCCTTTACCCTGCTATTAGGCGCTTTGGCACATAATGGTAGACCGATATCTTATAGACCAGTCAGCACTCAGTGAGTGATGTGGCCGGCCTTACTTCCCAAGAACATTGTGGGTTCTGTGGCCCTATTGTGGGGAAAACCAGAATAGACCCACTGCCTTCCCAACAAGCATGTCGTAAAAGTAAACTAACTGGGGATTTCATTTGAAGTCGGAATGCATCTGCTTGAGAGGTAAGAAACCAACATACAGATAAGTTAGATCTGTAAATCAGATGTGCATGCAACACTTGGGTAATTAAACAAGGCTAAAATTCAAAAGTGGACAAACAGCCAGAACGTTCTGCTTGAGTTCACAGCCGGTGAGCGGGAAGAAGAAGAAGACATCCTAAAACCTTAGCTGGTACCCATTTTCAGCTGGGTTAACCTGGAAGCCAAGATCATTTTTGAATAAAATATCCTGCTTGATGCTGATTTGAACCTACAACCTTCGGGTCCAATCTGAGCATCTAGCCACTACACCACAACGATATTTAGCTGCTTGCACATTTTGGTAATACTTCTGTTTCTTTTCAAAGGATCTGGCTATAGATGATGAAAGAGCACAGCGGTCCTGTTGGGAGACACAGTCGCTTAGTTTGATAGAAGAAACAACCAAGCCTTGTCCAGGTTGCCAGACAAAAACTGAAAGAAGTGGTAAGTTCTTTGTTTTGAATACTAAAAGATAAAGTAAAGGACCCATTTCCACACCTTCAGGTATATCGGGCATTAATGGGTTAGACCTATATGTTATAGACCAATCAGCATTTGGTGGGGGATGTGGTCAGCATCACGCCGTCCACTTTTACTTCCCAGGACTGCACCTGGTACCCACTCAATGCTAGGTCGACCTGGGAGCCAAGGTCATTTTTAGAAAGAGTCTGGCTCTGCCAGGATCCAAACCTATGACCTTCTGATTTGCAGGCGCTACAGCATGGCAACTCAATTTTTTAATAGTAGTATGAATCGTGGACTATCTCCCAGTCCTTGAGAAAGAGAATAGGGGCTTTTGAGCTGAAATGCTATAGAAAGATTCTCAGAATATCTTGGACAAAGAAGAGAAGACATACTGACATCTTGAAAGATCTGAACATCAAGGAAGATTAGCTTATAAACAGCATCCTGTCTCAGAAGTTGAAATATTTTGGTCATATCAAGCGCCACAAAGGATTGGAAAAAATTATAGCAGAAGGCATGGTACCAGGAAGGAGGGGCAGGGGCCAACCGACATGAAGATGGACACAGGATATAAGTGACTTTTTGAGTATGAAAGTAGATGAGGCGGGAGAGCTGGTGAGAGACCATGTTTCTTTCAGGCAGACTGTGATGAGAGCGATGTTCTGCAAAGGACCTGCTTACGTGATGATGACTTGTAAATTACAAAAGATAAAATGTATGAATAATAGATAAATTAATTGTGAAATAAGTTATTAACAACTAATTTTCACCAAGTGTTCGAATCTCTAAACAAGAGCTGGCATCACAGACTGGTTCCCAGTAACATCAGGAGTAAGACAAGGTTGTGTATTATCACCTTTACTTTTCATAATATTTATGGACAATATTAATAAAATAGACATAACACCAACAGATGTCGATAATCAGGAGGACTTCAATGAGCTGCTCTTTGCCGACGATCAATGCATTTTTCACAGTGATAGTAAACAGCTGCAAGACCACATAAACCTACTACACGACAGTTGCCTCAAGCATCATATGAAGATCAATACTGAAAAGACAGAAGTCATGAGCATAAGTAGAGAGCAACAGACCATCGACATAAAGATTCTAGATCACAGCCTAAAACAAGTGCAAGAATTTAAATACTTGGGAAGTATCTTTACTTTCAATGGTAAAATAGACAGAGAGATCGAAGCAAGAATCCAACAAGCCAACAATGTCGCATACCAGCTTGCCCCAATTTTAAAACACTCCGCTGTCCCAGCTGAGATAAAAAGACAAATTATAAATACAATCTTTATACCGACATTAGGTTATCAATGTCAGACTTGGACATTAACAAAAGAACACGAGAGAAGACTAACCACCTGTGAAATGAGATGTTTCAGAATGGCTGCGAATAAAACCAGAAGAGATCGAGTAAGAAACGATGTGATTACAAGAACTATTGGAACCATACCCATCGTTAAATTTATTGAGAAGCAAAGAATGAAATGGTTTGGTCACCTAGTGAGAATGGAACCAACAATGCCAGCATCAAGAGCATACAACATGAAAATCGAAACACCAAGAGGCAGGGGAAGACCAAGAAGAAGATGGATTGAAGGAGTCACGGACAACTTGAGACTTCATAACATCACGGCATATGAAGCGACTGAGCGCGACCTGGCTCGGTTGCCGATCATCTGATAGACTGCGACACCTAGCGGCACAAGCAGATTTTGACAAAAGAAGAAGAAGAAGTTTGAATCTCTTGGCTTCAAGAGCACCAGTAATGGGAACACAGAGAAGGCAGTTATTTTGAAGACTGTCTACAAACAGTAGTTAGTTAAAGGCACATTAACAAATGGAATTCATTCATTCAGTAGCATGTCCCTCGCGGAACCTCGCTGCCATAACAACCCTCCGGAAAACCTTCCTATCCTGAGCAAGATGTCCTGCGTCTGATACACCCATCTGGAGATCATCTGCCACATCCTGCACCCATCTTCTCCTTGGCCTTCCTCTTCCTCTCTTCCCAGGCATATACCCCTCCATTATTGTTCTCTCTAGACTTCCATGACGTTTCAAGTGACCAAAATATTTCAATTTTATTAACAAATGGAATGGGAATTTTAAATGATGATTAGTTGGGATTAACTCAGTCTAGCCAGGAGAAACATATGATGGTATATATCCAATGTATTTAAAGCCAGCAGCGTACGTTACTGGAGCAGTCAGCATCTGTATTTTACCATATTTGCTGTGAAAGGTATAATATCTATGTTTGCATAGAGTATTATGTATGATGTCAGTTGTTGAAACTACAAAAACTATGAATGAGCGAGAGTAGAAAGATTAGAAAGGATTATCATGACAAAACTCTGGACAGATCCATAGGTGCTCCTATCTCCTCCTCAAAAGCTCCACGCCTGTTCTGTGTTGGTTAATAAAACGTCTTGTTCCCTTAGTGAAATGTTCATTTCTTGCAGCTCTAGGCTGAATCCTCATGTCCATCAGTCTAGACAGGGATACAGAAGAGTAAAAAGAATATCAGACAGTAAATAGATGGGGATTTGTCTCCAGTGAAAGAATACCAGAAAATGTAATAGGAAGTAAAGATGACCAACTCAGTATTGACATCACTAATGAACATGAAGCGATCTGTAAAAATATTGAACTATTACCTTTATCCTTTCTTTTTCTTCAGCATTTGCCCTGAAAAAAAAGGCAGTTTTGTTGTTGTTTACATCTAGGTTGCAGTATCTACGACTTTTAGCTCAATCGCCTATTTCAACAAACCTTTAGTTAGTTGCTTTCTGTGACATACTTATTAAGAGGTAGGGAATCTGTACTCCCCCCCCCTCCTCCCTAAAATACATTCCCCTGATCCTACATGGGGAGCACTAGTATGCCTCAAGATTAGAAAGGTGGCCTTTACTTTTTAAATTATATGTTTACTGCTGAAATCTCTCACTTAGTTTTTTTTTTTTTTTTTAATGCATACCTGTTCCGCTGAAATATTTAGATATATATAAGTATTCTGTAACATTTACTCACATGTAGTTTGTAATTCTCCACACAGGTGGTTGCATGCACATGGTCTGTAGCCGCTGCTACCAGGAATGGTGTTGGGTCTGTGTCAAATCTTGGAACCGAGAATGTCAGGCCAGCCATTGGTTTGGATAAATTGTTATAGTTTCTGAATGATTGTTACTGGTACAGGGAAAGATATCTAAAAAAAATGTTAAATTCTTAACTCTTTACCACTGATGACAGTTCTATTTATCCAAATCCTAATATGTTTATAGTCACAGTCAGTCTGTCCTTCATAACATACAAGGTCCGACAATTAAATAATGAGACTAATTCCATAAAAATTAAAATAATCAACAGTTGAAGATATAACCTGTATTTTATTCAAAGTAAGCCCCTTGTGCATTGATACATCAAGTAGCACGATCTAACAAACACTGGAATGACCTCAGTAGTTCTTCTGTTGTTATGACCCTTAAAGTCAATGTTACGGCCCTTTGGATGTCATAAAAATCGTTAAAAAAGAAGCATCCTTTCAATCTAAACTTTAATTTTGGAATGGAAAATAATCACAGGGAGACAAATCTGGAAAATAGGGTGGAAGGCTGAGAACATTTGTTTTTTTGGCCAAAAATTCTTGTTTTGTTGATGTCTCTTGTGTACTCAACCCACTGAGGTTTTTGGTCATCAAACAATGAATGTGGTACATACTGGCAAGCAACTTTTTTCTTGCTAAAATCTTGCACTAAAATGTTATGAATGGTTTCTATTACCACCAGATTCATTTGCCATCATCTTAACAGTAAATCAATGATCTTTTTGTATCCGTTCTCTGACTTTTGCAATGAGTTCATCATTACGAACAAAAATTTTGCATCCAGGTCTAGGTGCATTAGTATTCATTTCTTCACCACTTTTGAATCGTGAATACCACCTGAAAATTTGTGCATGAGATAAACAATTATCCCCATAACAGTTCAACTGTTTCAATGGCACTTTTTCTGAGTTTTAAAAAGAAGTTAATGTTAGCTTTTTGCTCCGTGCTGATTACGTAACAATGCATCTCTGACTAGGTCAACAAAATGGCGGCTTGTTTGTTGTCTGCTTATCGAGCAGTGATGAAAAATTGCCAGATCATAGATGAATGTTGTCTCTTTAGATTCCATGCTTTGCTTTATATATGTCATTTTTGTCTTGGCCATAATAAAATCAGTCTCATTACTTAATTGTCGGACCTTGTATAAAGCTACTGCCGTCAGTTATCTTTGTCTAACTGCTTTGTCTTAAGTAGTGTAGTGGCGAGAAACTCACCTACAGACCAGATTGTCTTGGGTTCAAATCCACATCAAGGTGGATTTATTTTAGCTAAAAAAAACATCCCTTGGCTCCCAGGTTGACCCAAAGTAGAAATGGCTTTCATGTAAAGCCTTTTGAAGTAAAGGTGGCCAGCATAATGTTGACCTCCTCACCCACATAATGCAGCAGGTTGGTGTATAAAAATATGAGCTTGGCACCATATGCCCATTATGCACTGTCATAAAAAGGGTCCTTAATTTTCTTTTTTAAATTAGATTGTTTGCAGTGTATGTATGTCACTTGCAGTGTATGTATGTCACTTGCAGTGTATGTATGTCACCTGCAGTGTATGTAGATCACCTGCAGTGTATGTATGTCACCTGCAGTGTATGTATGTCACTTGCAGTGTATGTATGTCACTTGCAGTGTATGTATGTCACCTGCAGTGTATGTAGATCACCTGCAGTGTATGTAGATCACCTGCAGTGTATGAATGTCACCTGCAGTGTATGTATGTCACTTGCAGTGTATGTATGTCACCTGCAGTGTATGTAGATCACCTGCAGTGTATGTAGATCACCTGCAGTGTATGTAGATCACCTGCAGTGTATGTATGTCACCTGCAGTGTATGTATGTCACTTGCAGTGTATGTATGTCACCTGCAGTGTATGTATGTCACTTGCAGTGTATGTATGTCACTTGCAGTGTATGTATGTCACTTGCAGTGTATGTATGTCATCTGCAGTGTATGTATGTCATCTGCAGTGTATGTATGTCACCTGCAGTGTATGTATGTCACCTGCAGTGTATGTATGTCACCTGCAGTGTATGTATGTCACCTGCAGTGTATGTATGTCACTTGCAGTGTATGTATGTCATCTGCAGTGTATGTATGTCACTTGCAGTGTATGTATGTCACCTGCAGTGTATGTATGTCACCTGCAGTGTATGTATGTCATCTGCAGTGTATGTATGTCACTTGCAGTGTATGTATGTCATCTGCAGTGTATGTATGTCACTTGCAGTGTATGTATGTCATCTGCAGTGTATGTATGTCACTTGCAGTGTATGTATGTCATCTGCAGTGTATGTATGTCACTTGCAGTGTATGTATGTCACTTGCAGTGTATATATGTCACCTGCAGTGTATGTATGTCACCTGCAGTGTATGTATGTCACCTGCAGTGTGTATATGTCACCTGCAGTGTATGTATGTCACTTGCAGTGTATGTATGTCACCTGCAGTGTATGAATGTCACTTGCAGTGTATGTATGTCACTTGCAGTGTATGTATGTCACCTGCAGTGTATGTATGTCACCTGCAGTGTATGTATGTCACCTGCAGTGTATGTATGTCACCTGCAGTGTATGTATGTCACTTGCAGTGTATGTATGTCACTTGCAGTGTATGTATGTCATCTGCAGTGTATGTATGTCACTTGCAGTGTATGTATGTCATCTGCAGTGTATGTATGTCACTTGCAGTGTATGTATGTCATCTGCAGTGTATGTATGTCACTTGCAGTGTATGTATGTCATCTGCAGTGTATGTATGTCACTTGCAGTGTATGTATGTCATCTGCAGTGTATGTATGTCACTTGCAGTGTATGTATGTCACCTGCAGTGTATGTATGTCACCTGCAGTGTATGTATGTCACTTGCAGTGTATGTATGTCACTTGCAGTGTATGTATGTCACTTGCAGTGTATGTATGTCACTTGCAGTGTATGTATGTCACCTGCAGTGTATGTATGTCACCTGCAGTGTATGTATGTCACCTGCAGTGTATGTATGTCACCTGCAGTGTATGTATGTCACCTGCAGTGTATGTATGTCACTTGCAGTGTATGTATGTCACCTGCAGTGTATGTATGTCACCTGCAGTGTGTATATGTCACCTGCAGTGTATGTATGTCACCTGCAGTGTATGTATGTCACTTGCAGTGTATGTATGTCACTTGCAGTGTATGTATGTCACCTGCAGTGTATGTATGTCACCTGCAGTGTATGTATGTCACCTGCAGTGTATGTAATATCTTTGACTTTCACAGTGAAGTTTATTATTACTAAACCACAACATCCTCTGGCTGCCCATGCTGCATCCCCACATCTTTATGTATTTGAAAAGTGCCCATAAGAGTAGATTTATCAAAGTTACTGTACGGTGAAGAGTGTGTGTTAATAGTTCTTTAATGCACTGTAACAACTGAGGATCTGGATATATAGACCTATAGAAGATATTTCACTTCCACAGCAATTGTGACAAGTTTTGGTTCATGTCACACATGCACACACACACACACACAAAACAGCTCTTGCCTTGCTATGAGTTGGGAGAAGAAAAAGAGAAGGAAAAAAAACTTGACACAGAACTGAACTCCTCATTTAATAGTGCTGTGATTTTATATATTTTATATCCTTAACATTTTACATCATTATAAAGATTCAATGTGGGATTCATTTAACTCAAATTCCACAAATTTTTATCAAAACCTACATTACTGAATAATTTTCTTCCATGAATATAGCAGATTACAAGTAAGTAAATGGCTTTTCTTTACGCATCGTGACTCTTATATAGACCAGTCAGCAGTTGGTGGGTGATGTGGTCAGTATCACGCCGGCCGCCTTTACTTTCCAGGACATTACCAGGTACCCATTTTAGGCTGGGTCGACCAAGGAGCCAAGGTAAATTTTAAAAGAAAACAATCTGCCCCAGGGCAGATTCAAACCCAGAACCTTTTGGCCAGCAAGCAAGCATATAACCACTACCATGGCTCTCAGGAGGTTACAAGCATTTTTTTTTTTAAATGACTTGTCATTTGTCTTTTATGGTATTCTAATTGCACAAATAATTGGTGCTATTTTTGAACGATGTATGCAGAGTATATTTCCTTTAAATAGAATAGACACTGCATTGCAATGATTTTATTAGAAGCTAAGAATGTTTTGATCATAGAATATTCTCTTGAGAATAATAAGCATTGTAAATCAGACTTCATAGAAAATATTATCAGATTTTAATATACTTGTATATGTATGGACAAGCTGTATGTAAACCACAGGGTTTGTTACAGTTGGTTGATAACAACATTTGTAATTTTTAAATTGAAAAAAATTAAAATAAGAATTTTTTTTTCTTCTTTTGTGTTCGCAATTAGAAAGGACAGTTGGCATATTGTGTTATAGTTCACAGCCAATCCCTAACCAGTCATCTTTTAATACATGTTTGGGTGTGGGAGAGGGTCGGTCTATCCCACTCCTTTCCCCCAAAATGGAGTCCTGTAACACAGATGGGGACAGATTCGTTTTCATTAAGGCACTGCTTGAAATTTACATCACAATTGCGGCCCATCTTTTCATTATAAAATTTCTCCTTATCTTTACTAACTCACATAGGTGATCATAGTCTCCACAAACTGTGATCTCCAAAAGCATGTAACATTTCGTCAGCTGACATCTTTCCGTGCTATAACAAATTACTGTCAGAGATCTTCTTATGTTAAAATTATTTTATCTGCCCAGTTGTCACAACCGGATAAATGTCACTTTTTAATTAAAACTGTTAACATGCCATTACCAAGAAGACAATGGAGAGATAATATCCAGACAGACCTGCAAACACTTGATGTCACCAACTGGAAAAAGAAGACCAACCAGAGAGATGAATGGAGAGGGGAGGGGGGATATCTGCAGCAGTGAACCTCAAGGGCTTGGAATGCTGAAGAAGAATATGCCATGAGAGAAACATGGCTACATGAAGTCATCTGATGACACAGTTTGTTCCTCTTCTGTTTTCACCCTGAAAGGGACAGGTGACATGTAATGTTGTGGTTTACAGGTGTGCTGAGATATCTGCAAACTTTTGCCCAACACATCCAGTTTGTTGATCTAAATGTATCCTGATTATATGAAAACTGTCCTGTATCTGTCAGAGATTCTCTCTGATGCTCAAAGTGAATCATAATTCAGGGCAATGGTTCCCAGTTAGCTAAGACATGTGGACATCTCCTAACTTTGAAGGTTTGCCACAGAATGTTTAATTTTAAATAGCCATAGTGAAGAATTTATTATAATTTTAAATATTAATAACAGTAAGAATTGCAATCTGAAGTTGAGGGTCTTCTGGGTAAATGATATCATTATCAACATGTGCCGTTCTGGTAAGAGTAGGCTGTCATGTTTTGCTGTCTCACACGATCACGGGAATGATGGATCAGTTCAGGATTTTTGTCTGGTCACATCCATCTGACCAGGCCATCCAGGTGTTATCTCTGTGCCTTCCTTTCATCAATCTTGCCAGTTGTTATCAAGTTCTCAAGTGCATTCATTCTCATGTGTCACAAAAATATTGATTGTCTGCGTCTGATTGTTCTAATAAAAATGATCACAGACCATTTAAATTTGCTTCTCAACCACCATATGGAAAGACCTATCTCGGATGTCTGTTATTAGGACCATACATTCCCCCTTTTCAGACCAACATATTTGTTATGATACAGCAAGGGTCTCTGAAGTCACAAGACCTTGGATCACCTACTTCAGGATGTGACCTATCCACAGACTACCCCTGGTCTAGCCAGTGTTTCCAGGATTGCCTCTGTCATCATGATCTTACACCCCCTGCAAGTTTCTGAGCTTCTGTTGGTACCGCTTTGAGAGGAAAGTCTCTGCATTGTCTTCACAGTCAACCAACGTCACATAATTTTCTCAAGAAGACCTGAAGGTTTCAGTCTTATAAGAAGCAGTGACTTTGGTGGTTTGCTAAGTCGATATTGGAAAAGTGAATAGTGTCACACAGCAGGGTACTCACTTACCCTGGCAGTCTGAAAGATTGCCGAAAATTGAGATGCTCAGCCATGTTAATGTGGAAAGGAGGGAGGCGAGGGGGGGACTACCACATTATGTATCCCTAGAAACTCAAAATGGAAGCTGAAACATAAAGGAAAACTTGCTCGTAAACAGAATCCTCCCCCGAAAGCTGAGGTATTTTGAACATGGCAAGCGCTATTGTGGTCTGGAGAGAACAATGATGGAGGATGCGGTTTCCAGAAAATGAGGCAGAGGCTGACCTCCACAAAGGTGGATGCAGGACACTGCAGATACAAGGGCTGTGAAAGCACACAGGGCTGGAGAATAGACTAGAGAAACAGAGACTTTCAGGTGTGCCCTGAAGAGAGTTGTGTTTTGTAAAGGACGTGCTGTTTGATTTATTGATTGACTGACCATGTTTTTGTTTTAAAACCAAAGAACAACAATCAACAGACCCCTCTTCACAACGTGAATAATGTAGGCCTTATGGTGTTAGCCTCATATTTTGAACCAGTCAGCACTCAATTTATGATCTGGTCAGTCTCACACTAGACATTAAAAACCTGTTATATTTTGTCCAGAATAAAATGAATTCTACAACTTCAGTTATTCATTTTGTCATTTTATGTTGATACATGTGATTTGAAGATGCCAGTTTTAAAAAAAAAACACCATAATCAGTTTATGTTTGATTATTTCACAATTAGTTCAACTTATTCACCATCTCTTACACATGATTACACATGATCTGCTTGTGTTATTTATTTATGTACAGATTTAAATGTAGTACATAAATGTATACAAAAGGTACATAACTAAATCACAATCATGGTATAGCACTGTTTACAATTTGTGTGGTTATGGTTAAATAAAAAATAATTATAATATAAAAATATAATTAAAAAAAATAATTTCAGTTTAACAGTAGTTAATTAACAAAATACAGTTTAAAAATAATATACTTTTTAAGTTCAACAGTTGGTTAATTAATCAACATTTTTAAAAACAATTTAACAGCAATTGTGAAGCAAACATTTCTGCCCATATGGGGATAATAATATAGTAGGGAGAAAGAAAGCTATCAAATTATTACTGCTTTTCGTCCTTCTTAGGACGTTATTTTTTGTTATTTGAAGCCCCACTCTGGCTTTTGCCAGGGGCCGCAATATAGGCAGGTCATCATTATGGCCAAATGTCTGAACGCGGTTTCTGGGTCCTCTCCACGGTGATCCTCATCCGCATGGTGGCACTTTGTGTCATCGGGTGTTTATCGCTTGTGTGATGTCCTGGTGGGGTAAAAAATCCAATCCAAAGCTATCAAAGACATGTATAACACATTAAGTATTATAGTTACAAAATACCAATTTACAACAAATACAAACTACAAGTGTAATTCTACTCATAAGTAAATATTGGCTACTGTTATATTGCACTTAATAAATTAAACACGAAACAATACATTTTTCATTAGACTATTTTACTTCTAACATTTACAATAATAACATCAAAAGAAAATTCTGTTAAATGTAGCTGAATGTGAAATTTAATGAATGATTTTCTCATGGAGTTCCAATTGCTGTTATAGGATAGGGATTAATAATTTACTAGGCAGACATTTATATGTGGTCATAAAGGGAATATTTCAGATGAATGACAATAGCAAACAAAAAGTTTTTAAAAAAAGGTTTTCCTACCAAAAACAAGGCCCTAAACCTGGGGTGGGCAAACTGGTCTGAGGGCCAAATGTGCCTGCTGAGTAGTTTTTATTGGCCAGCGAGGCTGATGTAAACTACTATATAATCTTATTATGTATATAATTTAGGAATATACAGAAGTGCTTCAGTGGGTGAGTGTGTTTGGTTAGAGGCGTAACGAGAAATTATAATCTTAGACTGTCCCACAAAGTATATTATTTTTATGTTTTTTTTTTTTTTAAATGGCCCATGACCAGGTTGAAAATTCTCAATTTGGATTGTACACCACAAAGTTGCCCACACCTGCCCTCGCTTTTTGGAATTTAAGTGTTTATACCAATTAACTGAGGCAGTCTAAAAATCATATCCAATCTATCTAAAATGTAAAGGTTATCCATTGGTAAATATTGTAGGAATGTCCAGCCATTACATTTACACTGTCATGGTATTATGAGTTAGTTAACCATTCCCTGATCTCATTTCCTTTTGACAAGATCAAGATCAAGAGCAAATCATGGATTTTTTGCCCAGGATATTCAGGTGTGCGAGGTAACAAGCAGGCTGATCGATTACCTGCTGCCGCTCCTCAGGGCGGTGAGCTACTGTATGATAAAGCGTATGTGGCGAAGGCTCTGTGGGATCAAACAGAGAGTACAAAATTACAAAAGAAGTGATAGGGAATCCGTACACTGAAAGACTTATTCAATGGGGGGGAGAGAGAGAGAGAGGGCGGGGGGAGGAGGGGGGAGTAAGAGGTTCTGGGAGATATTGAACACTGAAGGGGAAACAGAGGCAGACTTTTGATCAAGTTGCAACTGGCACTATTAGTATCTCAACTCTTTGTTGGTTACTGAAGAAGGGACGGAGCACATGTGGGAATGTCCTGAGTGCCGTGATATCAATTCTTTATTCATTCATTCTTTTTCTCACAAGTTTTTTATCCCCATACAAAACTTTGGTAATCATTTTAAAAAGCTAGGTTAAAAAACAAAAGGTAGATTGACAGGTTCTGCACCTGGTGATAAATTAATGCATGACAAGATAAATGTGTTGATGACCCTTTGGGAGCGAGTCAACAGTAAGGAGACACAGATCATCATATTCGGAAAAGAATAGTGCAATAAGGAGTGATGAGGGAATCTGGCCAGCAATGAACACTCAGGCTAGGGGGCCACATGGCCATACAATCAGACTGTTACTGGTACCATCAAAAATGAAACTCTTCTCTTGCTACAGATAGAAGGTATTCCTAGAATTAATTGCCTGTTAAATTCTTTGAAAGCTTAGATGCCCTGCAAGCACAAACCATTGGTCATGATTTTTAGACTGATTTTTTAATGGACTTTTTCAAACATTCATCTCATATCCTTATAATCATGGAAAAACAGGACCAGCAATAAATCTTAAATCTGAATCATAACTTAACAGCCAGAAAAATACAAAAACATTAGACACTTTCAGCATACAGGGCTAGACCAATATACCAGTTGGTACCCAGTGGATGATGTGGTTAGCAACATGTTGGCACTTAAGAACACTTTTAACATGAAAAAATGTTGGTCCTGGCAGGGATATGTCAATTTGAGTCCCTGATTAATAGGGACATTTTTTATAATGAACTCTTGATTTTTAGATCTTTCGGAAATCATGTTAATGAGGTTTTACTCTAATTATGCACTTATTCAACACTGGTGTAGTGTTGCTTGGAATAATTTATGTGTCAGTTTCGAAACCTCTGTTAATGATTATATTAAAAAAACTATGCTAGCAGTAAGCTGTATGTCTGAATACAGATTAAATAACCATAGGAAGACAAACAATAGGACATTCAAAGAAGACAAGAGTTTTATGCATCAAAATTGGATGCAGTCATTTAGATGTACTCATAGTTCTTACCCATGGTACTGCAAAAATCTCAAACACTTACAGACATGTAAACATCTACTGGATCATTCTACAACTGCTGCAGACTTCTGTCTTGTGCTGGGTCTTTTTTTCTGTCCTTCAGTTTTCTCAACTCAGCTGCTTTTCCATTATAATTCCTGTAAAATATTTAGAAAATAATGGCTAAGATATCAGTATGGCTGTTTGCACAAATTAGTATAGTTAGTAATATTTTCACATTTGAAGTTATGGTATTTGTCATGGCCATTGAGTTAATCATATGTGTCGATTCCTCCTCACCATAAAAATGGCTGACACATTCCGTTACTGGGGACAGATTTAATTGAGTTTGCACTCTAGACAGTTTCAGTCACCTGCTGACGAGATTCTGTCTTCCTGGAAAGTGTGTTGTCACGATCAAAACATTGCGAAGGCAGCGTGGTCGAGGCTGCCAGATCTATAGGTCATTATCCTGCCCTGACATAGTACAACCACAATACACACTGCATAGTATCTTGCATTGGAAATGCACACAAAACAGCTGTCCATGATAAGGGAAAAGAACAATCTGAGAGAAATCACAGCCATAGAAAAATAACACTGCTGCTGTTCGCCATTTTGAAAACAGGTTCATTACGGTATTCCATTTAACACCAATTATTTTTCCATGTGTAAACGTATTGGATTGAACATAATTAAACATACGGTTGTGAACCCCTGACAGTTTTTTGAAGCTTCAGAGGTATTTTGCAGACGAGTACTTCAAATTCCCTGAACAGAAAAGAAAAGAATAAATGTTTTGAAGGAGGCTAAGACTGGAAGGCAACTTATGTGGTGGCAGTTTTTCTTAACCTAATTATGTATTATCTTCTTGAATGTGTTCTTTATAATCCTATGCATTTAAAAATAGTTTTGAATTAAAAAAAAAAACAATCAGGAAAACCTACTTTTCAAATTGTTTAAACAATATTTGTAAACTAAATTAGGTCACTGGCCATTTGTTATCATCATCTTATATCACCGTTCATATGTCACATAGGGCTCACACAGTTTATTCTCCTATAATGTTTTACCCTGTCCATTCTTTTCCACATCATCCAGTCCAGCACCTTTGGCCTGTCACATCATTATCTGTCTCAGGGTTTCTCTCTGACATCTTCATTTCCTCAATCCGTTTCCTACCTGAGTGCCTGTTTGGTGATTAATATGTTACCTATACTGTATCAGATACAAAAGTGTATTGTTCCAGTGATCTTTCTCCCTAACAGCATGTGTTTCCATTACTAGAACTGGATTTCTACTGCAAGGGATCAATGGAAAAGTGAAATAATATGAGTGATGCCTGCAAAGATATTTAATATAACAGATTCAGAAACTATAGCAGTAAGAAACAAGGGAGCTCAAATGTCAGCAATAGATTTTATTGTAAGACAAGAGTCACATATTCGATCATATAACATGAATGTGGCTCTTTTTTTTTCTGGGGATTTGCAAAACTCCCCTTTTAAGGCATAATGTTTTCAGCTCTACTGTAATAGATACTTTGTGATGAGCACCTGCACATTTTTTTCCCTAGAAAAAAAAGCCCTGAACTCAAACAGCCTAAAACAGCACTGACATTTACATCCAAAGAAGAAAAGAGACTAAGAGGCAAATCCCACAAGTGATGAATTAACAGAATAACTGATGCAACAAACACCATCTCGTCTGCAGGCCACACAAAGGGTCATACCCAGAAAGCTCTTTGTGATCAGATGCTAAAAGATGTAACAGGAGAATCAAAGAGAATAAATGAAAAATTATGCTCACCTGTATTGCCACTCACTGATGCCCCAACCTTTAACTCCATTGACTGTATAGTTGCAGAACCGTTCATAAATCTTGGCATCCCAGTCTTTGCCCATGTAAAAGGTAGGAGACTGTATCACTTCACACTCCAGATGATAAATTTTGTTACCTGTCACAGAAGAGATAGTTCTGATAAGAAGCCTTCCACAGGTTAATGTTAAGAGGTGATGCTTAGTTTGATAGAAATATTAAGTAAAAGTGAAAGGTCTATTTACAGGCCATGAGACGTACTGGGTATGTGGTGTTCTTCTTCTTCTTCTGCCTTTCTAAACCCCCAATGTAGCATAGGCCCTCAACCAACTCATGCCAAGTCGTTCCATCCTTCGCTATTGCATGCAGCTCCCCCCATATTTTTAACTTCACTCTCTAGCTCCCTTCTCCATGTGTGTTTTGTGTGTGTGTGTGTGGTCTTTTTTTTTGTCTATGCCCATTCTAGTTGTATTGTTCTCAGGTTGTCTCAGCATGTGTCGTATCCAACACCAGGGTCTTTTCTTCACCTCTTCGTCGAATGGAACTTGTTTAGTTCTCTCCCAAAGCTCTACATTAGTGATTATATTTTACCATTTAATTCATCATTTAATTCCCTATATTTGCACAACTGGTACAGCCACACTCACACATACACACACTCACACACCAAAAATACCAAACAAATAATGCAATTAATAGCCCAATCTGAGAACATAAGGAGACACTATATTCATACTCTGCACAGAGCATGTCAAAAAACAGCAGTGATCTTTAGGTCCGTTACAGTCTGAATGCCACTGGTGCAGAGAATTCACAATTGTAAAGTAAAACTCATCATCATGTAGCAGGTCCTTTGCAGAATGTCGCTCTCATCACAGTCTGCCTGAAAGAAACTCGGTCTCTTGCCAGTTCTCCCGCCTCATGAACTTTCACACTCAAGGAGTCACTTATATCATGTGCCCATCTTCGTGTCGGTCGGCCCCTGCCCCTCCTTCCTGGTACCATGCCTTCTGCTATAATTTTTTCCAATCCGTCGTGGCACTTGATATGACCAAAATATTTCAGCTTTAGAGAAAGGTAGGTGTTTATTAGCCAATCTTCCTTGATGTTCAGATCCTTTAAGATATCAATATTTCTCATCTTCTTTGTCCAAGATATTCTGAGAATCTTTCTATAGCATTTCAGCTCAAAAGCCCAAATTCTCTTTCTTAAGGACTGAGAGATAGTCCACGACTCACATCCGTATGTAGCCACAGGGAAGATGCATGCTCTCAAAATTATAATTTTTATCTCCTTGCTGGTACTTAACCATAGACTTTTAAGGCTGTTCAATCTTTGCATTGCTTTGGCCATCCTCTTTTTAATTTCTGTCGAACAGTCTCCGTTGTTGCTTATTATAGAGCCTAGATATTCAAAGTTTGTGACATTTTCAATTTCTTCATCATTTATTGTTATTTTTGGGTGACAGCCAGTTTTATCTGTGGACATTATTTTCGTTTTCTTTAAATTCAAGAACAGATTTTGATCTTAACTGTGCTTTTGGACAGACAATATTAAATTTTCTATTCTCTTTACGCTGTTCGAATCGAAAGGAGGACTGTGTCATCTGCATAGCGGAGCTCCGTTATAGGGTTGCCACCAATTTTTAGCAGATCATAACTGTCACAAGTCTGGTCATTTTTGACATTTCTCATTATATTTTCTGCATATATATTGAAAAGGTATGGTGAGAGAATGCATCCCTGCCTCACCCCCTTTTGCACCTCGAACCAATCAGATGTTTCACCAGCTGCTCTGATGGCTGCTTGTTGTAAAGTAAAACTAACAGATGTAATTTAAAGTGAACATAAAAACCAGCCTGCTTTGAAGTTGACAACAAGCTTGTCTGGAGGTTTGCCATCATCTCCATGATTGTAGAACTCAAAATCGGTGCCAGTAACTGGGTCCATAGTTCCATCAGGGTGAAACACATAGCCCACCACCAACCTGATGAGTTAAATACAGTTTTGAAAAGATATCAAAACAAATGAAATGATCTAATCAGCTTCACATTATCGGAAACACAAACAACAAATGAAATGCTGCATCTAAAAAGACTTTATTAGCACATTACATAAACAATTACGGACAAGAATACATAAAATAAGTGAAGTATCTCAGAGAGAAATCCACATGTCTGCCAAATGAAGCTGTGGCATGTGTGTGACCACAGGAAATGAATACTAGCCAGAATATGGATGTGACAAGCAACTCAAAAATAGCAGATAAAGCTGTGTTTAATGTTAAGTCCCCTAGGTGAGTTCAAGCCTATTAGATAAAGTGGTTCTCAAGAGATCTATGGACTTTATCACTGGGATGGCTAGACATGATTGCATTAATCTCCATGTCAAAGACACCTTGGTGATAGTGAGAACTAAAATGCACTGCCAATGGTTTGAGGGCATTGCTTTGCACATGGTGGGTAGTTAGCATCCTTTGGATATTTTCTCCAAGTCATATGTTGAAAAATTATCAGGCAGACAGACTAGCCGATTCTGCTCCACTTGGTGGTGAATTGATGTATGACAAGCTAGATGTTGTGAGGACCCTTTGGGAGCAAGTGATCTGTGAGGAGGCACAAACAGATCATAATGGTCATGAGGAGAATGATGCTGTGGGAAGTTACCAGGGGATCTGGCCGACGCTTAACACTCAAGAGAGAGGCAAGACGGATATACAATGAGACAGTTATTGTTACCATCCGAAATGGAACTCTTTGCTTGCTGCCGAAGATGGGGATGGAGCGCTTTTAGGATGTCCTGAGTGTTGAGATGTCGATTCTCAATTCAACATTCAACTTGGAATGGCCTTTACAATGAAAGATAATATGTCCTTGTATAATGTTTGAAAACAGCTGCTGCTATGTGTCAAACACTGCTATTTTTTTGGGGTAAAAAATGTATTGTGTTTAACAAATCTTCATGGGGTGGGGTCTGTATTATAAACTTTTTAATGCTAATTGCTTAAAAAATGACATAAATGGTGTGGGTAATCATTTCTTTGAATGTTGACAAAAACAAGCAATTTGAAAAAAAAAATATTTTTGTCATAAACTGACAAAAGTGTCATATTGTGACCCTTACAACAAATCATGTTGACTGCAGGATCAGATATAGAAAATATCATCATCAAGAGTCTTGCCAACTGGTATAGCCAATCATGCCTCTCCGCAATCTTCAACAGCAAGTATCAGTTCCTGTGCCGATACCCCTTCTGGTCAGGAGAAATGTTTATCGAGAATCTCTTGAATTGTCTTTGTGTCTCCTTTTTCCACAGATCTTTCCAGTGTTCATAACAAGTTGAACCAAACTAAAGGGATCATTTACTTGAGAAGTTTGACGGAAGCAACTAGGCAAATCAGCTCATTGGCCAGATGTAATAATAATGCATTTGGTTCTTCCTACTAACACTGTACAACCAGAACTGCGCAATGACTGCAAAAGATAAAATAAGAATCTTAACAAAGATGAAGTGCCTACAAAGAATATTTAATGTAACCAGAAGATACAGACTGGCCGCGTCTGAAGTGGTTAGTGGAGGCAAAAGTATGAGCAGGGTAGACATACAGAAATGCACTGCATTCCATAGACTTTAGGACAAAGGAGTCAGAGATGATGATCCGCCTGTTGGAAACGGGTATTAAGCTAGGAAAATTATGTAGAAACTGGTTGCGGGGCAAGGACAGAAGATATGTCAATTAACTTCTATTGGGTATGTTGAGCATGGAGACTGAGATGGCTGCTGCATCGAAGGATGAGTTGGACGGATGTGCTAGGATATCAAACGGATAACAAATAACAAGAAGATTCAGAATTATAATCACATTAGGAAGTGGATGCAGGATAAAGAATGAAGAATTCTATAACTGACTTTGAATATCTGCAGAACACTGCTGCGTATGAGTGTTGCAGTTAAAGACATTCTGTGTTCTTAAATCTCCGCTGGCATGGTGACTTTGGAACGGTTAACAATTGAAGCAGCTACACAAGAGTGTTTTGTATGAAAATCAAAATAAAGTTATTTTTGGTTGCTCAAGAGTTGGCACTTCTTAAACTACACGTTTCGTGCTCAGGTAAGTCATATAAGCTACATTTGAAGCAAATGAGTCTAGTCCACCTCAGCAATGATGGATAAGAGTCTTCCAGTCATTATTGCAGATAGGCAGGTTTACTGTTTTTGCTTCCAATAATAGTTAGCTGTTGTAATTTCCTCCATGTCTATACTGAAAGGCCTTAGTCTTAGTCGAGGTTTCAACATCCCCCCCATTCGGGTTTCCCCATACTTGCTCCATTCCTGTGCCAGTGCAAATCAAATGAAATGTCCCTCACTGTCGCATTTGAAAAACTGGTGAACAAACAACGGAAAAATCCAGATGATGGAAGTAGTCGGGCATGATAAGTTAGTAACTGTACACACATAGAATTATTACATAAGGTATTTCACTAACTCATACATAAAGCCGCTACTGGCCATATTCAATGCCATGACGGAAACGCTGCACAAATGAAAGGCATTCCACAGGAAAAACACAGCTCACAGGGCTGCAGACAAGCACTAAACTCAGTAGCTCAGGCAGCGAAACCGTAGACTACCATCCTTATGTGGAAACTGCATTAGCAAAGCGCTGTTGGAAGCAAAAATAACTTCAAAGCTTAACATTCTGCCAAGCCTTTCCTCCATTTTGACGGGAAGCCCCAGGATACAATTCCATCATCCAACTATGGAGCTCAGTGCATGGCATTTTTATTTGAATACACTACCAGAGCAGATTTAATTTGGAATTCTTTCTGACTGTGCCCGATGTGTGATGTGTTGTAAACTGCATATTCAGGAAATGGCGAGTGGCCTGTTGCCAGACAGCTTGTGCTGCCTTGTGCATTTAATGCATGTGTATGCTGTTGGATTTGCTAAGACTGTAGTCTATGTCAGTTTATTTCACCAGGGACAGTGATAGACATTTTGTGTGGTTTTGATGGGCACTGGAACACAGCAAGTATGGAGTGATACATCTGCCATGAAGTTAAAACCGATTACCTGAATAATGGATTAATAAGTATGCTATTTAAATTGTTTATCTCTATTTCTTCCTTGACATTTTGTGACTATAATTTGTGCAGCCAAACTGTTTAGAAACATAAATACCTGGACAGTGTAACTGGCATGCAGATTGCTCCCACACACAGGGCAGTGTTATCCTCCAAATGTGCATAGTTCAGAGCGTAACGGTGAAATAGTTTCCAGTCTCTAATGTTACCTGAAAAGTCATCATAATGACACAGCAGAATTTTACATCTACTAGATGATGTACACACTCATAATGTAATTGTATTTTTACACAGTAGTAATATTTTATATCTTGGACAAAGAAGAGGAGAAATACTGACATCTTGAAAGATCTGAACATCAAGGAAGATTGGCTAATAAACTGCATCCTGTCTTGGAAGCTAAAATATTTTGGTCATATCAAGCGCCACAACGGACTGGAAAAAATTATAGCAGAAGGCATGGTACCAGGAATGAAGAGCAGGAGCCGACCAATACAAAGAAGGGCACAGGATATAAGTGACTCGCTGGAGCTACAGAATATGTGCTTTGTGGTGTGATCTCAGCAGGCGGCTAGCCATTTTAAAGAGAGAGACGAAGGCTTATGGGATAAAATCTGGTACAATGAAGATCGATCCTCTTGACTTTAAATTAACTTTAACCCGTTGAGATCTGTCGCGGCAACTATTCCTCTCCACAATAACATTCCAAAAAGAATTTGCTTAATGACAGTGATAAACAATGTAGACATTAAAAGGGTGTCCTTTAAATATTTTCCGAGTGAGTTCTGAGGCCCCATTATGGGAAGGGGGGGGGGGGAGACAAAAAAAGACCCACTGCCTCCCCAACAAGCATGTCGTAAAAGGCAACTAATTAGGGGTGTTTCCTTCAAAGCCAGAGTGCATCTGTCTGAGAGGCAAAGAACCAACAGTCTGCGAAACAAATAAGCCAGATCTGTAAAACAGATATGCATGCAAAACTCAAGTTCTGGAACAAGACCAAAGTCCAGGAGTGGACGAACAACCAAAACCTTCTGCCCTAGTTTACTGCCAGTGAACACTATGAAGAAGAAGATATTTTTAACTTCCCCCTTCTAGGACCGCAGCCTGAAAGATTAATATCTAGTGTCTCGAAGAGCCACTGTTTGGATGTGAATAAAACAACAGAACATCTCAGAAACCCTGTTCAACCAAATATAACGATTAAACTGGGGTTTGAAGTAACCTGCTGTCCAATGTAGGTGGGTGGAATGCTTTGGTAATGGATTAAATAAGAGGGACTTCAAATTAAATGTTTCAAGATGGCTGCATTTAACTCTAGGATCAGCGCAACCTGATCTGGTCGTAAACAGGGTATTCACAGAAGTCACATGATTTTGAAACTTCCTACTTCACTTATACACTTGCTGAAATGACAGGCATGCATCACCATACTGGACTTTAATTTGCTAATGAATTTCTATAGGTTTCACCCTTTCACTGATCAAAAATGGACAACAGAACGCTGCTCCTCTCTGGTGCATGTCATGTGCTTAACACTCTTAACATCCTTAACAATAATGAGAGGTTACAAGACAATGACATGGTTATTGTAATTTATGTCACACTTTTAAGGTTTTCATTTAAAGCTCACACTTAGCGAAAATAATTGTGGTTCACTTGTAATTCACATTCTAAATACATACCATAGGAATGATCTCTGACTCCTTGTACTTTGATTTCCTGAACTTGGTAACTGGACACATGCACACTGCCAGTTATCTCTCCAAACTGTTCATAGTGGGTCTGGTGGAGACTGAACAAGTGCAATACAAAAATTAGAAAACAAAGGTTCAATAAAAAGTACTGAGAGCAGCCTATGTTCTTACATATACAATGTTGGATATCTCCCCAAACTAATTTGTTTTTCCTACATTGAGCAGGTTGAGATTAATGGGGAAAAGAGACACACATGAAGATGAATAAAATACACACAGAATTTAGTCTCGACAATCTTTTGGTTTGTTGCTTGTCCATCACGAGTGATGAAGACCACTTTCATCCAAAGTAGTAATGATCAAATGATTATGAGTAGGAAGGTGGCTGTTTAGTCCAATATGAGCCAAGATAGTTCTTGAGCAGTGCGGACACCATATGGAGGGCGCAGTAGGTGTGGGATTAGCAGTTTGATTCTTTCTAGTCTGCCTCCGTTTCTCCGCCCGTGCAACCTCCGCTGCCTAGCAGGGCGATGCACCATGTCCGAGGGACGTACGCTATCCAGAACGGTCTCATGCAGCAGCCTCCCAGGTCGCTGTGTTGATGCCAAAAGAATTGAGAGCAGTCTTCAGAGTGTCCTTATAGCGCTTTTTCTGTCCTTCCTGGCACCTCTTCCCCTGCTGGAGCTCACCATAAAATACTCTCTTTGGGAGGTGATAGTCTGGCATGCAGGTTATGTGACCAGCCCAACGCAGCTGATGATAGCTGGATGAAAGTAACTTACGCAAAGACTTGGATTTAAGTGAGGAAGAGTTGCGCAATTCGTCGTCCTCACTCTCTCGCCTATGTCCCTATTGATCCAATGGCAGGACAATGTCAAGACGATTGAAAATGGACCTAGGTGCAGTGGATGACCAAGGAATCTTAAGTGCCCTGAGTTGCTCGAAGCTCTCCACAGAGCCTGCAGGTAAACGCTTTCTTGTCCGTTGAACCAATAAGATTGTTTCATCCGCACAATCCGCAGAGTCCAGTCTTTGCATGCTGGGTAGGCATATCCCTTTTACCGAGTGTTTTAGAACCAGGTAGAAAATCTTTTGGTAGAAAGAGAGAGACAATGTTTGGTAATCTTGCATTTTGGCAGGAGAAAATGGTGATACTTAAACAGATACCCTGTGCTGAAATTATGAGTTGTGAATCCTTGTGACATTCCCATAAGTGTTCCGTCTCCCTCTTTAGCAACCAGCACAGAGTTCCAATTCTGATGGTACTAGTAATGTTCTGGTTGTATGTTCATCTCACCCTTCCCATGAGTGTTGAGTGTCAGTCAGATCCCTTGATCACTCCTCATTGCACCATTCTCTTCAAACTGTGATGATGGAACTTTGCTGCTGAAGATGGGGACTGAGAGCTTATGGGAATGTTCTGAGTGCCGTGATGTCAACTTTTAATTAAACATCAAACCTCTGGTCTCTTGTTCTGTCATCACCATACGGGGATAATAATATATGAAAGAATGAAGAATACAAAACATTATAAACCTTTTTAGTGTGTCAAAGTATTTCCTTGTCCATGTCTCGCGTGCAAGCCCATCTGCCATGACATGAGGATGAAGATCAGTGTCAAAGTCAAAGAGTTTTGTATAAGCTTTCCAAATCAGATTCATAGTCACCTTCACAATCCTGCCAGTCTCTGCAATTCTGCATTAAACCATACATAATGTTATGTTATATATGTTATCAGCGTGAACTCACTACACATTGGGCATTCCCAAGCAGGCTCAGGCCTCTAAGAAAACAGCCACCCCAATTTACTTCTACTAATTGTTCCCATAAGATATGTCATTATTATTAGCAAGTTTTCCTGTGTGGGGTTATGGGGCTCTATTTTGGAGAACAACAGAATAGACCCACTGCTCCCCAATCTTCATGTGGATTCCGTGGCCCCATTGTGGGGGGAACAAGAATAGACGCATTGCTCCCCAACAAGCATGTTGTAAGAGTCGACTAGTTAGGGTTTTCCTTCAAAGTCGCAGTGCATCTGCCAGAGAGGCAAGGAACCAAAAGTCAGATCTGTAAAATGGACATAACAGGTTCTGGAACAAGTCTAAAGTTCAGAGGTGGATGAACAACCAGAACTTTCTGCCGGAGTACTCAACTCATAATCATAATCGAACAACTAGAACTTTCTGCTGGAGTTTACAGCCAGTAAATGCAAAGAAGAAGAAAAAGAAAGGCATGTCGTAGGAGGTAATTTATAATGGGTGTTTCCTTCAAAGTTGGAGTCATCTGCTCGAGAAGCAAGGAACCAACAATCTGCAATCAATTGAGCCAGATCTGTAAAATGGATCTGCATGCAGAACTCTACTCCTGGATCAAGACTAAAGTCCAGGGATGGACAAACAACCAGAACTTTTTGCCGGAGTTTACAGTTGGTGAACGCAGTCGCATGACATAATTTGCGGTTTTCCGGCGACTGCCGCCACCGCCACGAGTCCCCCGCGTGACTGCGGCTCGAAAGGATATTTTGCGGCCGCCATCTTTAGTACCCATTATTCAGGGGATAGCCAAATTTTACATACATTTAGTTCAACATTATGTGCCTTACCAACTGGCGTAGGCGCTCATGCGTCTCCACAGATCACGATTCCTGGTTGCCTGGAACAGTTCTCTTCATGATATCCCTCCATGCCATCATTTCAGTCCATCCAGCATCATCTCTCTTGGTCGGCCCACACCCCTTTTTTCACTGATCTTTCCAGTTGTCACGATGTTCTCTAATGTCTCTCTTCTCATTATGTGGCCAAATAACAGTGTTTGTCTCTTTCTTATTGTTGTATATAGAGATCTACCTTCATTAGCTTCTCACAAGCAATCGTTGTTAATTACTCTGGCCGTCCAAGGTATTCGTAACATTCGTCTCAGAAACCACATCTCTGTTGCTTCCAAATTCTTCCTAATTTGTTCACTGACTTTCCAAGATTCGCTGCCATACAGCAGAACAGATTCTATGTAACATTTTAACACCCTCTTTCTGAAATTAAATGAGAGCAATTTATTGCATAAGATATTTTTCCTTTTCTGAAATGCAGCTTTCGGTTGACCTATTCTGTTTTTTAATCGCTGTCATACATTTTCCATCTGATGATATGATTGTTCCCAAATATTTGAATTTATTGACTTGGTTAAGTCTTTTTCCATTGAGATATCACAATGTGAGACATTTAGGTAAAGAAGCTAAATCCTTTTTTTTCCTCCTTATTTTAATAATTATCATCATCACTGTCCTGTTGTGCCATTATATGTCACATAGGGCTTATAGTCTATTCCTCAATTCAGTTTTATCCTGTGCAGTTGATATTATTGATGGAATCCCAGTGCAGCACCTTTGGCCTCTCTCATTAGTGTTCATCTTAGGGTTTTTGCTTGGATGTCGCTGCTTCCTTGTTCCCCTTTAATTCCTATTTTAGTGGCTGTTTGGTGATTCTCTGCTGGTTTCTTCTCAGGATGTTTCAGTAGTGATCAATCACAAATCCATTTTTTTTAAATTTATTTTTTTAAATATGTTTGAGAGACATTAGCTAAGACTTTAAAATTACACATATAATCAGCACTTTAGAAAAATACCCTTTTCCATGCCTTTAGGTGTAATGGGCATATAGGGCTAGATCTCTATAGTATAGACCAATCAGCATTTGGTGGGTGATGTGGTCAGCACCACTCTGGCTGCCTTTACTTCCTAGGAATGCACCTGGTACTTACTCAAGACTGGGTCAACTGGTCATTTTTTTTTAAAAAGTTCAGCTCTGTCAGGACCCGAACCAACGACCTTCCGATTCACAGGCGAGTCTAGCCGCTACACAATTGCAGCCCCTTTTTTAGTACTAGTAGTAGTAATTTGTATCTAAATAATATCATGTTCCACCCTCTGGGTTGTCTTCTTCCACATTCCATGCCCTTGAGGTCCATTGCTGCAGTTATCACCCACCCGTATTTATCTCTGTGGCTGGCCCTCTTTCTATCTGTTGATTCCATCTGAACTAATAATTCAGATACAAAGAATTAACATAACAACTGTACGTGTTAGAAGACAGTTGAGATCTGAACTTGGTAAGGTGGCTGCCCAAAAGTGTACTGTACTCCAGTGGGTGCCATCCCACTGTGGTATACTAGGAAACAAAAGAGCAGATAAACTTGCTAATAAAGGGGCAGAATGTGACCAGGAAGAGAATGCAGTAACATACTATGAGAAGAAAAGGGTCATCCAGGCTATTAGAAGTGAACAGAGTCTGGCCAGAGATGACTACCACTCACTTGACCGGCATGGGCAGGTCATTATCCTACATCTCAGGACAGGACATAACAAACTTAACCAGCATATGCACAGGGTCGTCTAAGCAGTTCACCTTTGTGCCCTTGTGGGCTATGTATGCAGACTACAGAACACTCCTGCAAGAATGTCCATTGTTCGGCCCATTAAGAAGAGAATACTGGCCCAGTGAGTCACCAATGTACACAAAGTTGTATGAGACTAAAAGAAACTCATAAAAAGAGTCAAGTTTATCACAAGAATCTGTCTGTCGGTGTGAATCAGAAAGCGAACACAAGAAGAAGAAGAAGACAGCTGAAATTTTACATTGCCTTTGAATTGGCAAATGAACGTAGGTTGCATTATTTGGTCCTGAAAAAGGTGATTTGTCGTAGTGTCTGTTTTCAAATTCTGTAATAAGATTGCATTATTTAGTCATGCTCCAGGTTTCAGAGCCATATAAGACAACTGGTCTTATCAGCATATTGTATATATTGTGATCTTTGTGTTGCGGGATAGAGCATTTGATTTCAGCATATGTTGTAGGCGCAGTATACTTTTATTTTCAGCTCGTATTCTAGATTGTGTCGGCTCTGTGGCTAAGTCGATGAACGCTTCGTTATGCTGGGATGCCGGGTTCGATTCCAGCTGCTGGCCATGTACCTTGCATTGGTTTCGACAGTGGTATCAAGAAGGCCGACCGTCCAGAAAGCAATGGCAAACTACTGGACGTAAATTTGCCTAGAGAAACCACACAACAGCCAGGGGCTGTTGGGGTTGGTTCTGCAATGTCCTGTAAAGGATATCCAACTAACCTTTATTCTAGATTGTATTTCTTATCTTAGTATGTTAGAGCAGTTGAAGTTTGCACCCATGTATGTTTCTGGTTGTTTGCATATTATATGTTTGTATGTGGCCTGTGTTTTTATCCTTTTCCTGATTTGTTATTACCAATATTATTATTATGTATTATCATGACTGGTAATGAGCCCTATTTTGGTAGCTGCTTTCTTAAACTCTCAGAGTCCCAAGGAACGCATCATACGTTCATAGATTCCTAACTAGAGGCCCAATAAATGCATGATTCGCTGATTTTACGTCTCTCTTGACTACCCCTTGTGCCTGTGACGCTAAACCCCCTGGGACTCAAAGAGTTAAGCGTGTCGGGGATTTTACGTCTATAGTTCATTTTCTCCTCAGAGTTACAGTTGGGATATATTGTCAAAAATTACAATTGCAAGCTAGAAATTTAAAGTAAAAAACAACAACAAAAGAACAGCCAGTCTTTTGCATACCTCATCATCCCATCATATTTTAGTGACCATGTTTCCATCGGACGTAAAGGTTTAATTGACAAACCACCAACTGTGTAGCTATTTGAACTGTTTGGATCAAAAAGCCAGGTGTCTGGAAGTGATGGTATTTCTAGTAGACCAATTCTAGGAAACTGAGGCCAGACAAAAAAAATTAATAAGCTCATAACAAAAGTCAGTACTTTATTAATATCCTACCCCAGATGATGTCATAGGACAGTCCAACATTTTAGAGGGTGGTAAGACTGGGTTCCCCGGCTTTCTGATGCTTTTAACCACCCCAAAACATCTAGCATTGGCCCTAACCCCAACCAACCTACGTCCCATGAGAGAGTGCAGCCTAGGTCTTATGACTGAAGGCAGCCTAGGTCCCATGACTGCATGTAGCCTAGGTCCCACAACTGCATGCAGCCTATCTACCACCCCCTGAAATATTAAACTGCCCCGTGACCTGTGGATTTCCCCTCTTCAAAAAAGTCAATAAATATATTTAAAATGTTCAAATTTCAATGTCTTCTTCTTCTGCGCCTGTCTTTAATTTGTTGCCTTTTATGACATGCTTACTGCAGGAAAAGGGAGTGGCAGTGGGTCTATTTTTTTTCTAAAATCTTAAAATGAGCTCCGGTACTTTAGCAGAGAGTTTCACTTAAGTCAGTAACGTATTTTCGTAATATTTTGCATTCCTTTTAATCCTTTCAGCCCCTGGAATTTTGACAGATTTGGCTCGCATAATTTTCCCCTTATAGAAATAGCAGAGAGAGTGGTATTTAAAAAAAAGGGGCAACTGAGAATGTCATATATTTATAATCCCTATAAGAGTGTGGATTTTTTTTTTAAAGGAATGAAAGTACATTTTAAATCTGTTGACACAGTTTTGTTTAATGCTGTTGCAATTAGTATAATAAAAAAGAATTAGGCAGGTGTTATGTTCACAAAGACAAAATTTTACAAAACAAAATTTGGTTCAATAATTTTAAATGACCCCAAACAAGGGAAATCCAGGAACCCCCATCCAGTCTACTATTCTGGGAGTGTTATGACATGCCTTTGTTCTGTGTTCACACAAAGTGCAGAAAGGTGTGCTTGCGCAATGGACGGAAACCTGGAAAGAAGCAAACTTTCTTCACAAACTGCTGTGCAACTGTTACAAGTGTGTGCTGCTGTAATTCAGTGTGTGAGTGCGTGTTGTAGCTCCATGTGCAATTGTCAAGGAGGATGATAACTGAGGGTAACTAAGGAGGAGCGGGGGATGGGGGGGTTGGAGCAGCATGTCCACATCACTGCTAAAAATATGAAAATTGTGAGTAAAGATCAGCACAGCCAAGCATGAGAGGCATTCAGACTAAAAGAAGTCTGTTTAACTGCACTGGGCTGGCATTATCAACCACAGGAAGCTGATGTATATGTTGAAGGTGGAATCTGAGCAACTTTGGGCGAGTCCTGAATGCTGTGACAATAATCCAACTCATAACGATACATCTGTGAAATGAACCCATGACCTTCAGAGCTGGAGGCAAATATCTTGATCACTGCACCATGGAACCATCATGGAGAACTCCTAGTGAATTTGTTTAGTATACACATTTTATGGTCAGACACTAAAGTAATAAAGCCACACAAAAAGATTCCGGCTCAAGGAAAACTGTGACTAACTGAATAACTTAATACCTGTGTGCGTTTCAGAGCCCCTTGGGGCGAAGGGGGGGTGGGTGTGTGTGGGAAACAAACCCACTGCCACCAACAAGCAGGTTCCAGGGGACGACTAATTAGAGGGCTATCTTCAAAGTCAGAGTGCAGCTGCCTAAGAGGCAAGGAATCAATAGTCTCCATACAAATAAGCCAGATCTGTGAAATTAATAAACAAGCAAAACTCAAGTCCTGAAACAAGACTGAAGTCTAAATTCAGAAGAATAGCCAGAACTTTCCACCGGTGAACACAAAGATGAAGAAGAAGATTAACTTAAAAGGTGGCTGAGGGGCAGAATGTATGTATTACACATCACGGAATGTGTGTTCAATCCTCAGTGAGGCTCATGATTTTTAAGAAAAATCCCAGCCTGTACATTGAAAGGCAAATGCTTCGGTAAATAGTCTTTATGTGATTCCCATCATACTAGCACACTGGTTTGATCACACATGCCAAGTCCTTTAACGCAGCAGCCAACTCAGTCAGTCATGCGCATCATATCCAGTAGGAATTGGTTCGGCATATCTTCACAACCAGTTTCTGCATGTTTGTCCTCATTCATTTCCCACTGACTCCCATCACATGTTAGGTCAGTAAGGTACATACAATTTGAACATTCAATTTACCTCCTGTAGTTATCTCTATTTGTAATCGACAGCATCTGTAAAACTCATTTAAAAAAAATTTTAATAGAAAACAGACATGTACTTTCAGAAATTTCATTTTTAAAGTCTTACCCTCAGATAGAGGATAGTCTGGACAATATTTCCTTGTCTTCGAGCTGTAGCAGCCACGAGAAACACTCCATCTGCATTACCACCGTTAAAATACACAGCATCTACTGCCTTTGATGTGAATAAATAATGTTTTAATTATTTCTGTAAAATTACAGGATTTGTAATGCTTCGGGGACTCATGTATGAACATGAGTATACAGAAAAAATTATCTGATCATCACAGTTATTTAAAACATTTTCTTAAATATATTAAACATAACAATCTATACTTCTTCAATCTATCACAATTAATGTTGTGTTGTATTTTTTGTCCATCATGAGTGATGAAGACCACTTTTCATCCAAAGTAATAATGATCACATATTATGAGTACGAAGGTGGCTGATTAGTCCAATTTAAGCCCAGAAAGTTCTTGAGCAGTGCAGACAATAGGTGGAAGCCACAGTAAGTGTGGGATTACGATACAGTTCTTTCTAGTCTGCCTCAATTTCTCTGCCTGACAGGCTGATGCCCTATGCCTGAGAGATGTACCCCATCTAGGATGGTCCTGTGCAGCAGCCTTCCACATCTTCACAATTAATACATAATATATGAAACATTAAATGATGAAAAGAAAGACAGACATCAATAATCAATATTAAAAGGGAAAAGAATACTATCCCAATTATAAGGGTTGAACATGTCACATCAGTTGTCTAAAGAGGGGAAAAGAGTTAACAAAATGACATTTTCATAGTCAAAATGTAAAGGACCCTTTTCCATGCCTTGAGGTAAATTTGTTTTACTTTGCGTGTGCAAGCTACAAGACTTTGCTGGGACTGACAAGTTTTTCACTAGTTTTCAAATGGGTATTTGAAGGTTATTGTGTGTGACTGCCAGTGGTACAGGAACGGAGCAGTTATGAGGCAACCCGTCTGCAGTGATACTGGAACCTCGACTAACCAACTAGCGTGTAATATTATCTCAGACATATTCTTCTTGTATTTATTTTCATTGATAACATCAGATGGAAGATGTATTAAAGAAGTTAAATGTAGAATAGCTCAAGCAAAGGCAGCATTTTACAAAATGAAGAATATTTTATGCAATCTTTCTTTGTCAACTGAGACGAGAAAGAGAATTCTTAAAAGCTATATAAATCTTATATTGATAAACGGGTGTGAATCATGGACAGTTAGTAAATAAGTGAAAACTTATTTGGAAGCTGTGGAGATGTGATTTTATAGACAAACAATGAGAATACCCTGGACAGATAAAAAGAGTAATGAAGACATCTTGAAAGAAACTGGCTCATGGAGAGAACTGATGGCCCAAAAAACGAAAAAAGAGACAATCTACATTCTTTGGTCATGTGATGAGAAGGAGAAAACTGGAGTACATCGTGACGGTAGGAAAGTTGTAGGGGAGTAGAGGCGGAGATGGAAAGAAAAGATGCTGGACAGTTTGACATCATGGCATGAAAGACGATCTGTGTCAGAGTTGACTGAAAGTAACCAGACAGAAGACTGTGGATAGACATGACTACCAACACCACACGACGTGGACTTCTAAAAAGAAGGAGTATTTATTCGTCATTATGCAGCAGATTATCATTCTTATTATTTATTTAAGTACTTCAATAAGCTTAAGGCCTTTTGAGCCCCTCACCCCCAATCCCTTCCACAAAATGTGTAAGGGACTCCTCTGCCCCAATCCCCATCCAAGCACCCACAATATTTTCTTTGTGTCATCGTGGGTGAAAAGAAGTCTGTTTTTTAACATATAATATATATGCGGTCAAAATATATATTTTTAGGCTATCTTTCGAATAATGGTCCCAACTGAACTACGCAGACAGTTAACCCAAACAGAACCTCACACATATGTAAAATTCGCATTTCTTTTGCGGCGATTCAACGGTGTCAAAAGTACTATTAACTGCCCACGGCAATATCGCGGAACGCAACAGATTTTGTTAACGGCGATTACACGGCGGCAAAACAAAGATTAACTGCGGACAAAAAAAATTACCGACACGCGACAATACTCCCGATAGCGCTATCCTACGGCAGGGCCCGAGTTATATGTAAGTTGCCAACTACAGTGCCACCGACTACAGTGCCACCTCCGCGGCGCGGAGGGGGCTAAACTAGATGGCTAGAACTCACGAGCAGCAGCTACCGCAGCTCCTGCAGCTTCCTCCAAAGTATTTGCTTGTGAGTCCCAGCCATCTAGTTTAGCCACCTCCACGCCGCGCGTAGCTGTGCAGGGGATACTCTCGGAGGTGGCACTGTAGTCGCCGGGACAAAAGCCAACAATTTACAGGAGCTACAACTTGTGACGGAACTACCAGCGGCATCGTGGCGGCTGCTCGTTTGAAGTTGTCCGAGCCGACATACGTGTACATTACACCGCGCATTACAGGCTGATCATGTCTCGCCCGCAACGAGAATCGCAGACAAGCCGTGGTGCTGAGTTCGAATGGCGGCAGAGCGAGAGAGAACAGATATTCGCGCACTATTTGGAATTTCTGTGTCACAATTGTCATGTATAGAGGATGTCACTATCGGTAAGTAGTAGACTTTCCCTATTTTCCTAATACTTTTCTTTCAAATGTTTGTAGGGCAGGACGTAATGAGGCTCTGATTGGGTTAGCTGTCTGCATAGTTCAGTTGGGACCGTTATTCGAAAGATAGCCTATTTTTATAATATACATACAATATATATGGGA